ACGAAGGCAACGAATTAAATTGTGACAATTTTCGTGATGGATATATTATGCATTTATGCAGTCAAAAGTGTAGCCCGTCGAAACATGTATTTCTTATTGCTAATGTGTGACAGGAGGTGGCAATTAAATTTGAGCTGAGCAGTGGCAGCAGCAGCAGCAGCAGCCATGAATCAGATTTTTACCTGGTTTGGCATCATTGAGACAAAAGAGTGCCCACATTACACAACATCATTGCAAAGCGAAATGCTTTGCAAACTGAGAGCATTTTCGAAATCATAATGACACTCATTCGAGATGTGTACATTTATATATATATATATGTCGTATGAAACTAAGCGGAAAGAATAAGATTAACCACCATTCTAATTCAATTGTCCAGTTGGTTTTCAGTATAGAATGACTTGCGTCCGAAAAAAAAGAGACAAAAAGGTAACTCCTTTTGTGTTCATAGAAGACAAAGCCACACGCGTGCGCTTATTCACAATTTACAAATTCGGTCACAATAGTATACCGCTAATAAGACGATTGTAATTAAATCTATCTACCACATGGAAGCAGATAATTGTTTTGCCAAATCGCTAAGTAGCCGTGTATGGCACATCGCAATCGCTCACTCACTTTCATGGTTTAATTTGATCTCCACCGTTTAGAATTCTTTTTCTATTGAACGGGCGCTAGTTTTGGGTCAACACCTTTTGTATTGTGTGTGTGTGTTTGTGGTAGTGTATCGGGTGCCAGTGTCTCGGATTTCATTCATTGCAACGCAAGACGGGCAGCGAATAAATGTGAAATCGCGGCAAAGAAACGAACAAAATACCGACGCGAAAATTGGAACTACAATTAGTTTTGTACACATTATTTTATTCGAAATGGTCAAATCGCCAGTTAGTCCGAGGGATTTTTGCGAAATTCAATAGCCACACTATGGTATTGGAGAGGAACGAAACACAAAAGCTTAAGAAAAACCGAAATACCAATGCACCGTCGACGCCGTCGCCAACAACAACAACCGCAACAATAAGAACAAAACCAAATTCACATACACATACGCAGACAATCGAATCGGAGTCGGAGAGCAGACATAATCGCATAGCGAATAATTGTAATGTCGAATATGTGGAAAACAAAAGCCAAAGCTATTCAGTGCATGAAAAAAGAACATATGCCAAGCACTCAGCCAATGCAATATTCCAATCGGAATGGAGGGAAAAAAAGAATTGAAATAAAATAAAAATAAAGCGAAAAAATAAACAACAGACCAACACACATACACACATTCACTCACACAGACAAGAGGAATAAAAGTGAAAAAAAGGCCACGCGTTAATTTAATATCACAGGTCATTCTCAGTGCATAGTAGCAACGGTAGAAAAAGAAGGAAAAAAAATGACTTGGACTTCGAGTATCTATCAGTACTGCGCAATCTTCTAACCGGATCAAAAGAGGCCCCAAAAAAAACAACAGCATACAAAAGGCTAGAAGTATGAAGCGGAAAAACGCTGCCGATTTGAAATTATTATTTCGTTAGTCTAACAAGCGTTTTGCGCTTGCATTCCCTTAGCTCGAGTGCCATTCGAAACTCTCGAACGGTGTCTCGATTTTTTCGTTTCATTTCGTTTTTTGTTTGTTTGTTTCTGTTGTGGCCAAAAACAACACAACAGCGAAGTAAAAAAAAAATCGCTCCATCGATTTCGAGATCAGAATACATTCATTCTGTTCGATCTAGCGATCGAAGCTGCTGCAATAACAGCAACAACAAAAACTGATTGTTTTCAAATTCTCAATGCAACGGTGCAACAGTAACAGCGACAATCACGTATCCATAAATGAATGGCGAAGCCAACAAAAAAAAAAGAACTAGCATAGCACAAACAACACATATTGAATCGCACACCGAAAGAGAGTGAGATAGAGACACAGAGAGAGAATGAAAAAAGCACAAATAAAATCGAAGTAAATACCATATAATAAGTTTTGATATAATCACAAGACAAATCCACGCTCTCGCACACTCACTGCGCGCCACGCCACGGCAGCGAAAGCGAGAACAGGCGATAGAGTGCAGCGAGTCGATAGACAGAAAGAGGTTGGTGCGCGCATATGAAATGAAATCAACATCGAACTGAATTTAATGTGTGCATTGAAAGTAAGAATCGACTGAAAAAGAGTTACTCAGTTGCCACAGTTCATGTTGAGTCGAGTGCTTGCAATGCGGCCTGGGTCTGTCTATATGCAGCAGCAGCAGCAGCAGCAGCAGCGACGACGACGGCGGCGGCAGCAACAGTAACAGCACAATATTATGAAACGTGCTCGACGAACGCGCGCGCATTCTGCACCGTGTTAAAGTGTATCGAATGATTGGCTCAAATGTAAAGTTATTCAAATTCGATCACTCAAAATTGTGCTCTGAGAAAAACCGGGCACACATTTCAGTATTTTTTTTCTTCTTCTTTTCTTTCTTTCTGATCTCTGCACCCTTTTATAATCGGTGTCTTTTCTTCACCGACCGATATATACTCACATATATGCGAATGCACTTTCAAGTGAGAAAGAGAAATGATGCCGAAAAAAAAAGAATTATGTCGACCAACGTCGTAATTCATTTTCTTGTAAATGAAAACATGATAACAGAAACAAAAACACCAATGCAAAACAGCAACGGCAGTGGCTGGCATGAGAGAGAGGGAGAGGAATAAGCCATATGAGCGAACGTGTAGTGAAATGAAAATCGCTTGCAGAAATGAAACGAAAAGAAAAACAGCAACCGCATCCATTGAGATAGTCTGGTCACTGTTTCTAATCAATGTAGAGCAAATGTATCATTTGTTTCATTACCTACTACTCCATTTTTCGCGATTTCCATGTTTCGTTGCCTATTTTTTTTCACCTTCTTCTTCTTTATCTCCGGTGCATGGTGTTATCGATTTTTTTTTAGTACATTTTCGATTTCAGTTTGTTGCTACTATTTCTATTTTTTTTTATTTCATTGAGTCGCAAATGCGCGCGCGCGCTCAACTGATTTCAATTGCCATTGCATAAGCACAAATTTGAATTCAATTTTTAATGGGTTTCTCTTGTCTCGACTCGACTCTTTTAGTAGCGCATATATACCTTGGTAACGGCTGCAATTTTATTTTCAAATTCATTTCATGTACTTTGTTATCGTTTTACTTGTACTTGTAAGAAATAACAACGCGCAATCAATAAGATCGAATTTGTTTCGGTGAATTGCAGTGTTTCTGCTTCTTTTTTCTCCTTTCTTGGTTTCTGCTCCGTTTTTTTTTTCTGTTGCTGTTGTTGTTGTTGTTTGGATTTTCTCTTCGGCTCTTTCGACTTTTATCTCAATAACATTTTGCGATAATCGCGCGCAGGAAACCAGATGCTAGAGCATTTGATAGAGTCAGATATCCGTTGCGCCAGTGTATAACATTAAGTAATTGTTCAACATCCGATTACAACCTGCACTTGATTGAATTTGTCGGAAAAGTAAGTGAAATATTTGCTTTGGAGATACAGCCAGCCAGCCACGTCCAGCATATATCAGCTGCAACATTCTTACAGCACTCCATTTCGCTCAGCCCAAAACATATCATTACATAGTTCATTTTTTCCCGGTTTCCCTCTATTTGTTTCTTAATATCTGTCTAATTTTAAGGCTTTCCAATAAATGTCAACATTTTTTTTTTCTTTCGTCTATATCGCATATAATATATAGTATTTATTATTGTTTCAGTGGTAATTTTGTCCGTAAAACACATAATTTTGAAGGCGAAGCCAATCGCCAACGGCAATATTCAAAACGATACATGTGTCGCACACTTTGCTCCACATCTGATTTATTCCTTCCTTTTACTCGAAAACTCCACATTCTCTCCAAAGCAATTATCATCTACACCATGATTATTATTTATATTTAGCAACGTCGATGTCGTCGTCATCGTCGTCGCCATCGTCGTTGTTGGTCTCTCGGCCTAAAACAAAACTGAACAAAACGGAGAAAAGCTGCAATTTCTATTTACTTGATTTACTTCGCCAGTGTATATGTGCGAGTGGGCTCTAGCATAAATTACGAAACGAATGGATTAAAAACATATAACATATTAATTGATACAGTTATTCTTTTTAAATGGCCCTTTACTCAATGACATGATAACAGACGTTGGACACCAAACCAACCATACTTTCGATATCCATTCTCCTGCGGCGATCATTTCTTTATGGTTTTTCGTTTGAGGCTAATCGCAATGTAAATCGATTATATTTCATTTTTTTTATGAACATTTAGCTAAAATGCCTTTGTTCCGCCCAAAAGTTCTTCGCTTTTGCAAAAAATTGAACATTAAATTGAGTCCATGATTGAACAAATTGGAGATTTTCAAAAAACTGACGCTATGAAACCCATTCAGATGAAAACAAAAAGTTGAACATGATATAAAATCAACCAATCATTTTTACGACATTTCAACTTTTCAAGAAGGAGAAAGGATTCAATCAATTGGATACAAAACTGGTTCAGCTTGAAGAATTTCATAAATTTCTTTTTATTGAAAATCGTTCCTTTTATTTTTTTTTTTATTTTTGGATCAAGGGCTTCGAAATGCGAATAAACAAAAATTCGGCGATGCTGAAAATCTCCTACTTTCATCTTCATTCTTGGGCTCAATACGAATCGCAAGAGTGAGAAGCATTTAGAATAGCGGTTTAGAAGCGGTCATGCTAATGATTGACATTTTCTCAGATCAGCTGATTCATTCAGATGTAATGAGAGTATGACCATTAAAAAAAGCCGTTTTGTGTTTAAAAGCGATACACGATGTGATTTCAACTTTAGTTCATATTTGTTCAATAGATGGAGACACTGGTGTGTTGCGATTGTGATTTCCATTTTGGAAATTCACCATACCCATTTCTTATAAGAAAAGACGAATGAAAAGAAAACGTCAAAATATTCCACTGGAATTTTATCCACTCCAATTTCGCAGTGGTTGGGTTTGTTTACACAAATTCATAGTTTGTGCGAGTAGCTCAAGTTTTCAAGTCATTCGTGTAAATCAAAAGAAGCGAAAAGGACGCAGTTTTGTTTGAAATACACGCAAAATCATATCAATATTTGTAAATAAGCTTCGAGTAGTTGAAAAGACGTGCGATTGTGTTGAATTTATATAAAATCATATTGGATACATAGTTTTTGTTCGAAGTAAGTAGATTTCTATAGCTTTTAAAGGACTGACATCGAATAGTTGTTTTTTGAGATAAATTGATCTTTAGCGAAAAATGCTAAGATGAAAATTATGTTATTTTAAGGGGCATTTTCTTGGATTTGTTTTGGGATTTTAAGAATGAGAATTTTGAAGTTTTGAAAAAAAAAAAATTCAATGGTCTTGAAAGAGTTTCATTTTCGGATTTTAATTAGTTTCATTTTCGTTACACTCAACATGAATTTTTAAAATTGCAGAGTTCTTCTTTTGTGCAGAATGTTTTCCCTATTTGAGCTACTTTTGCCGAAAAAATCGTCCAATTTGTATATTCCTTCAATGAAAACAAAACCGTTCTTTGGATAAAATCCAAAATCATGTATTAAAGAGTAAACATTTAAGTAAAAATGTGGGAAAACCTAGTTTGAAACCGGGCCAAACTACCATTCAACTGCAGCATTAGAGTCAAAAGCCATTCATTGCGAATATCGTGCGTATTTTTGGAGTAAATCATGGTCATTGATAGGCGCTGTTATCAAAAGTATCTAATAATGATTTGTAATGTGATACACACGACCATAAATACACGTGAGATTTTTGGGGCAAAAACAGCAGAGAAATAAAATCACTATAAACACAGTCAAGAACTATAGTTTTGTTCATAATAACAGTAATCCACACAAAATAGCAATGAGGAAAAAACTAAACAATACATATATGCGAATGAGTGCGACAGTGGCAGTGGCAACAATAACAACACACAAAGTAACGAACGATGATAATAATATGCGCATGTTGTAAATAAAAAAAAAGTCTTCCTTTATGTAGTGCTAGAGCTCATATACACACGGTCACACACTCATACACACATAGCCAATCACATTTGCGAAAGCTAATATATCTTTCGTACGACCATATAGTACATATTGCATATGGCTCGTGCTTTGCTGCTGTGAGCAAACAGTCGCAGAGAGCCATGAAAAAACCACACGCGAGAGAAAAAAAATGTTGGACGCAAAATGAAACAAAAAAACAACAAAAACACGTTTATATGCAACACAAACGAAGAAGAGTGTACCTTGTACGCGAACAGACAAACACACACGCACACAACGAACAGCATTGGTGTTGCTATTCGAATAGGCAAGTGAAATGTAACAAGCACACGCAAATTCGAATAAGAATCAGTGAAAAAAAAAGACAAAAACACACAAAGCGAACAACAAAAACGAATTAGGAATACATGGATACGTGAGAGAGTTACATTGCGTCGTATGAACAACAAAATCAAATAAATTGAATTGCGTTCGATGAGTCTGTGTTGTGTGTCTATATCGCATTTGCTTCGTCAAAACATTTCCAATGATTCGAAAAATATATTCATTTCGTTTAGATTCATCACACAATACTATACCGATGCAGTTGTGATGTTTGCATTGTTCCGATGCGATATTGTTACGGAATGCACCCTATGAAAAGCGAACAAATCGCTACGGTCGGAAATTAATGTGTTTTTAAGTTCCGTTTCTCCTTTTTGCTCAGAGGCAAACGAATGGGCGAGCCAAAAGGGTGAACGAAAATGCACTCCGTTTCTTTCGAAAAGTGCACCTTTTGGCATCAACAGCTGAGCTTGTTTACAGCCGGATTTTATACTTAGCGGAAATTAGCTATATTCATAATTCAGGTTATTAATTAAGCGTGTGCTTTTCCACTCGCTACATAATACTCTCTCTCATCGAGGAAGAAAAATTTGGCGCGAAATCTCTCATTTCTCTATTTACTACGTGCCGAATTGCACATTTAAGCCGGATTTTCAGCAACTTTTGCCAAATTGTCGTCGTCGTCTTGCAACATTCGAAAAAGTAAATTCAAATGTTCACATTTTCATTCGGTTTCTTTGCATGTGGCGGAGTGTGCGTATGCGTGTGTATGTGTGCGAGTTTGGGTTATTTGTTGCTTTTGTGCACAGACATCGAACGAAGATAGAGAGAGAGACTTGATGTGGGCTTTCATATTCCTATTTCGAACATACGTGCTATGAATTATATTGATTAAATGCGTACGCACACATGCACACCCAATCGCAATTGCACAAACACAGTTGAAAGCTTTCATTTTTTCGAATGGAAAAAAACTGCCACGAAAAAATACCAACGACTATAGTCAATATGAAGCGACCGACAAACACACACACACACACACATACGTACATATCGCTACCGTGTGCGGTTCAATGTTTATTTTTAACTTAATATTCCGTTTTTTTTTTCGTTTTGTAGGCTTTGATATTTTTTTTCTTTGATTCATACTTATTTACACATACCAATGCACAGGCGCAACATCAGCAATGAAATAGCAACAATTGAAGTGATTCTACTTTCCAGATAATGAAATGTATGTTGAAAATGGGCAGAAAACATAAGATTGTGGCAGGAAATTGAAGAAGGATACGTCCATTTTTTGTGTCATAATCAAAGATGCTTCTATTCGAATATCGAATGCTTAGTTCCCGGAAAAAAAGTGTAGGTTGATAGGATATTACATCTTAAATCAGGATTCATTACGATAGGATCAACGGGCTTCTTTGTGGAAATAGAAGTTTTTCGTTCATTTTCGTTGGAAAAAAGAGATGAACATTCAAATCTTGGCGGAAAAACAAAAGTATTTCCATTAAGAAAGCGAAACTTTCTAGATAAGAAATGATATTTTCTGAAGATGCGATCCTCTTAACCGTTAACAAACAAATTACAATCTAAAGATCTACGAAAAAACAATATTGTTGTTGTACAGGAATTGATAGTATGATAACGACCTTAACGTATATTAGTGTTGGTTTGGCATTCGAATCTATGTTCAAATTGAACAAAATTAAGCTGATTAGCAGTAAAGATATGGTCTCCTTGAAGACGAATGCCGCAAATCACATCAGCATCGGAACCGATATCAACAGGCGATAAAAGGAAATTGACAGGAGCCATGTATTAAGGCATTGTTGAATTAGGTGATGAAATCTTAAGAAACTGCATCTCTGGTCCACAGAAAATAGATAGTTTTCATCTTCACAAAGTGAAATACTAACCAATACATGCACAGGGCAAAAGTGCAGTGCGTACGCACTTTTCTTGGTGCATTTGTTGTTTTTGCGAGTTTTGCGTTTGCTGCATTGACTGTGTGACTGTGTGTCTGTGTTGGTTGTTAATATGTTCATATCAAGTCAACTATCGAAAAATGTTTTAGTCGCCAGAACAGAGAGTTCATTGCGACCAATACAATTGCAATACACACACACACACACAAGACTGCATCGGAATCATAGAAATGAACGCGAGCGCATGCAACAGAAAAAAAGTGTTATTCGCTTTATTCTAAGCGTATTTTGAACGTTATACTTATGCAATATCGAACAAAAATGTTATGCGTTTTTAACGAGCTGTGGATGCAACCGATTCAATTGAATTTGATCGTGGTAAACGAATAGAGTGAACTCTATATCGCGCGCGCATTTCGAGAACCAAAAAGGGCACAAAAATGTATAGTGAATTGATGGCTTAGCAATTTTTATAATAAAAATCGAATCGTTCATTCGATTTATGCGAGCTGGTGAGTGTGTGTGTGTGTGTGTGTGTGAGAGAGAGAGAGCGTGTGTGCATGTGTCTGTGTGCGAGTGATATTATTTGTACGGCAACAAATGGAAAGAAAAAGGCAAACGGAGCACTAAACATTCAAATTTACATGCACACCCATACACACGCACTCAATCCGAATGCCATCGCAGAGCTGCTGCTGCTGCTGCTGCTATTGCTATTGTTGCTGCTTAGCAAGCACAGTGCTCGCTCTGACTATGATGAAATATAATGAAAATACTGACTGTGCACCACTACATATGCGCACGTGGTGAAGCATTGGATGTGCTCATTTCAGAGCTCTCAAAGTATATAGTACACACACATTCGGCCGTCACATACCAGTATCGTGGATTCTTTTGTACAGTCGACTCTATATATTTCGCAGCGTAGTCACACAATGTCAGAGATTTGAAAGCAACCACAGCAGCAACAACAACAACAACAACTAACGAAATCGCAATTTTCGCGTTTCGAAGCGCATAAAAAATACGGCGATTTTACTGTAATTTCCGGAGATTTCTTCTTTTTTGTAAACAAACGTGCAAATCAGCTGAAACGGTCTCAATTGACGGAGTGCATTGAATTGTGGTAATTATTTTCAATTGTTTATTTCGTTAGGATTTTTTTGGTGTTGAATTAAAGTTGAAGGGGCATATCTGTCTATTCCCGTATTGTTGTAATCACTATAGTTGTAATGAAACGGTTTTCAAATGAGTGTGTTGACGACAAGTGCATAAACCTGTTCAAATGTCAGTAGATTTGAGGTCCTTTCATGAAAAATCCAATTCGATTTTAGTGAATTTCAATTAGAAATCCATTGCTCCAACATGACTATAGTTCTATCGATCCAATTGGATTGTAAAACTATGCATTTTCATTTTGTTTCAAAGGATTCACAAAATAACCGTTAGAAAAAAAAATCGATTTCGGATGATAAAAAGCCAATTTATTGGGGCGATGAATCGTTTTTTTTTCGTTGTCAAATCCTCAAGAAATGTAATCGTCAGGCTGCGAAAAGATATGACGAAAATACCAATACATACATAACGGTAGGCCACACATCGATGCGCACAGAAAGTCCACAGCAGTTAACCGTACACATCGCACACGTACAGAGTGTATGTTGATCGAATAGGAGATATAGATGTGTGATTGTGTGCGTTGCGTGTGCATGGCAAATGGAACAGTAAACATCTCCAATTTTGTTTTTTATTCGCCTAACAAAATAAAAACGTTCCGAGAGAGGGAGAGAGATTCGAAGAATGAGAGAGCGAGGGAACTGTGAATGTGTGGCTGTGTGTCGTTTGACTAGCTCCATGCTTCATTTATGGCAAAGGAACAATACTCGCATTGAAACGAATTTCAACGGTGCAATACATGGTTGTTGCTTATGAAACCGATTCTGGTAATGAGCCAAGGAAACCATAATCGTAATGAATTTGTCTTAAGGAAGCCAAAAGTCATCCCGTTGTGAGATTCAACATCTCATGTGGTCGTGGCTCGCAACATCTTTGTTCTTTGCATCGCTATCACTATTGTTATTAATTGCGATGTGATTTCAATACATTCAGACTTTTTACTTTGTCATTCAGTGCTACTGCGGCTGCTGCTGTTGCTGCTAGTGCTGTGTAGAGAGCAGGCACGAAAACATATGCGCACGTATTGGTATCGTCATAGTGAACGACAATGGGAGATAGAAAATGCGAGTATAGTCAACGAGCGAGATATACCTCAATAACACACACTCACTCACATTCACCCAGCGAAAAAAAAACATTCAATTACCATCACGAATAACTATAGTGCGTCATTGGGTTGGCATACACAGTGAACACGCGTATTTTCTCAGTGCGGCTACAATATCTGCTTGCCTCGAGCATTTGGACGACTGACACTGCTTTATACAACGATGTGTTGGTGTGTGTGTGTGTGTGAGCGCTCACACTCTCGCTCTTTTCGAAACTCGCCAGGCATTTATGTAATGAGCTAAGCAAACAGTCAACATAGTTTTCGGATGCTAAATCACAGAAAACTTCAATATTTACAAAATGCGCACATGTGTTTCGAACCGAAAAAGGCTCTTCAATCTAACATATGACATTTAAAATCAAAAACTTATTCCTTCTACTCGGCCAGAGCCGTTTATTTTTTCGCTATGTTTGTAATAGTTGGTGGTGTGGCGTTGATGGTGTTGGTGCACAAATCGAATGCGTCGTAAATTAAATTGTGAACACGAGAAATGAATACATTTCTCTCGTCTCAGCCTCAATTCGAAATAAACAAACAACAACCACAAAATCTATACTATACAATTTTGTAGGCAGGCAACGATATAGATCGCGCACATCAACTGTACAACCATATGCAAAGTATAAATTTATATTGACACACACACACACACACACACACACACACACACATTGACAACGCCACCAAAATCAACATCGACGAATGAGAATAAGTTCAACAGCCAACTCAGAAAAACATTATTCACAATAAACTCACATACACACATACATGCACACCTGCACACAGATACACACACACAATTTGGTATCACCCAGTTGCTGGCTATGGCGCACTTCATTGGCATTTAGCGAGCTTGCACACGAACACATACCCACAGACGCATACGTACACAACCGAATTCAAAATATCGTCAAATCGACGAGAATCGTCGACAATAGCGATTCATATTAGCTCTCAATCTACTCAACAGTTTTCAGCAAGAGCATTTCGACGAAATTTTTAATACGTTTGCAAAACAAAAGGTCCTTATTTCAAAACAATTGATTAGTTTACAGCATAGATTCATTTGCAAAGTGCATCAGTAACTAATAGTTACTGTGGAAACCCTTAACACAATTTCTCGTTAGTTTATTTGTTCACTCATGTTTTTCACATTCTTTCACAATTGCAGCATCAACGGGTACAAACGAACCGCTCACAGGCACACGACGTTTCGCACAATCGAAGCAAGGAAGGACATATATACCAAAATCCGGAAAGAATAACTGCAAAACCGGAATATCATGGCTACAGCAACGTTGCTGCAACAGCAGCAGCAACAATTGCAAATGCAAGAGCATAACATCGAGCTCATGTGTCGCATTTGTGCAGTCGATTTCAAGATTGTCACCGAAGGTGTACCCATTTTTAACACAGACCAACTGATGGATAAAATCAAAAACTATCTTCATATACAGGTAAATTTTGCGTGAAATGCATTTTTCTAATGGTTGTCAAATAATAGTTTAGTTATTTGAACGTAGAATTTCTGTCGTAGAGGGTGTTCATTAGCGTAGTAGTTAATGGATTTTAAGATGTTGGCCAATTTCGGCGAATACAAACCGTTTTTTACGCAAACATATAGTTAGAAAATGTTTAACCGAAGAAAATTGGGAATTCAAAATACTTTGATTGTTTTGGAACAAAAAAAAACGTATTGAGCATATTACTCACAATTTTACCCTTTCGATAGAGTCGTTTGTTGAAATTTTGGTTCAGGAAAACGGAAATGTCATTAAACGAAGAAAATTTTTTCTTATGATTTCTGTATGATAAGGAAAGAGGAATCTTTGATTCACTTCAACATCGACATGAATGTCGTCCAATTTCTTGATTCATTTGACTTTGGAAACGTTCGCGAGATGGTTTTTATCAGTTTGAATTGAACATGGTCAGTGTGTAATGTGTGTGTGTGTGTGTATGTGTGGTTTTTTTTTCATTTTTGTAATGTGTATTTTTCCGTCTGACGATGTCGTTCGGTGTGAGTTTGCAGTTTTATGCGTTGAAGTACTTTGCATGCGTGTGTATATGTGTGTCTGTGTCACCGTTGATTTGGCGAATGTGTGACCAAAAAAGAATTTAAACTTACAAAATCAGCGTAATTTGGCTTGTGTTTGTCATGTGTCACTTACACAAGTATGCAACTCCGAATGACACGCATAACAATCAAAGAATACGCACGCATACAAACACATACACAACGTAACATTCATCGGCTGGGTAACATCGTCACTTGATTCGCATAATAATACACCAGAATATTAACAATTTCGTGAGCAGAACATCGTTTTCTAACTTAGCCAAAAGTAAATACTTGCACTGTGAACGGAGCGAAGAGAGTTATTTAGTTACTGATATTTTGTTGTTTTCTTCTTGGTTTTTGTTTTCGGTTCTCTGTGCTCTATTCTCTCGCAAATATGTGTATGCTTAGTCCGTTGAGTGGATTCACAAGTTTAACAGAGAAAAAACAGAACGCTCCTAACATTTTATGTGTGTCGACAGTGACACACATTCACAACGTGTAAAATGCACTGCATTTACTGCTCTTATACGTATACACATTGACACTCTACCACATGGACACAGTTTTCTACTTCGACTATCGATTTTTATTTTTAACTATAGTTTCGATGCGCGCAGAACGGCACAGCTTCACGAAAACTAAAATTCAATTTCAAAATGATTTTACATCATCAATTGCAAATTGCACACTCGCACAAACACGATGCTGTGCATCGCCGTGATTATGCGTAGCGATGCTGTTGTAAGCGATACAAAAGGCATGAGAGTATGAGTTCATATTGGCGAACAATTCACAAGAAGTCGCTAATGAATGTCAATTTTGCGGAAATTCAAATTTCCAACATAATGGCAACTCTAAATCAATTTGCATGCATAAATTATGAGGCGAAATGTATTAGTGTGCCTTTGACTACCGAAACTCTCTCTCTCTCTCTCGCTCTCAACAGCGACACAAGTGCGATAATGCCCATTCAATGATACGGGCACTCACAAACACTAACTAAGTAATCACAGCAAGATTGGTTTCATTTAAACAAATTAGTGTGCGGTCTTTATTCTTGCTCTCCTTTTTTTCCCAGCACACAATTTGTATGCAAAATTGCCCAAACAATAACTGAATATAAACAGTAACCGCTTCATCGTCTTTGCAAGAATCGTCCAGTATTGATACAATGATGCTTATTGCTGTACAATGATATCGGTTGTTAGAACATGTTATTCACACATGTTAATCTAAATCCAAACAAACAAAAGAAGAAGAAAAATGACACAGAAGATGGATACGAAAAGAGAGCGAAAAAGATTATTGCGAACGCAACACAACACAAAATGTAATGATGAGCTTGTAAACAACGCTTTATCTTGAGGAGCTGATTTTCTACAACATTTTTCAATAATTTGGAATTATTCAACTTTGAGTGTAAATAATTTTTGATTTGATTCACTTTACACTCTCAATTCCAAATTCCGTTGATTTTTAAATGATTCGAATGGATTTGAATTTTTGTGTTAAATTTTTCTGCAAATTTGTGTTCAATGTCTAGACTGAAGGTGATTCACTGAAATCAAGATTTGTTCTTCGATATGTATTCATTACGATAAATTGCCATCTTTTCAGATCAGTTCTATCAGTTCTTTTCACCTATTTTTTCTATCTATTTAAACAATTTGTTGCGGTGAATATTGATAATGAACCGCAAAAAGCCGCAAAATTCATTTTCCCGCCAAAATTAACATTTGTCCACATTTTGTTGTTGTTGTTGTTTCAGATTACAAATTTGGATAAATTGTCACATCTCGTGTGCAATGAATGTGTTCGAAAGATAGAGAATTTCCATTGTTATGCAATGATGGCACATAAAAACCAGGAATTATTCAATATTATGTATTCGGAAAAAATTTATCGGGAACATTGCACCGCGTTATCATCGCTAAACACGACATTGTATCGTGAGCCGCCAACGCCGCAAGTTCAACAGGTGCAACCGAAGCAGCCGAATACAATCACCATCCAACCAACACCCCCGATCAAAAAACAAAAGGTTCAACCGCAACAGAAACCAATCAAACTGCCACCGACCACAGTCATTACTCCAGCATCACCACAAAACACCGCACAACAGCAGCAACAACAACAAAACCAGCAGGTAAAATGCGCACAGCACACCACAGCTTTTTTGGTTAAATTTCAAATTGCAATCAAATATTAAATGGTTCAACTAATTTTTTGCCTTTTGTAGCCGGTGGCTGTGCTGTCAACGGAGGATATCACGATATTCACTTATCAGGATTTGAAGCTTGGTCAAGTGATAAAGGATCAAGAATTGCAAAAGTTGATATTACGTGCACTGAAATGGAATGAACCGGGCAAAACGATCGAACAGCAATTGGATCGATTGAAAAATGCCAGTTTTCGTGGAGTGTTGAATAATCCGGATTTGTTGCGTGATGAGGATTTGGTGCAATTGCTGGGCCCATATTTGGATCATGGTTCATTTGCACCATTGGACACAAACCGATCAACGAACGTTGATTTCTCAACGAAAACCATGATGGACCAGAATGTAACGGAAATGGAAGTCGGCGTTGATCCAGATCTCTTTTTCCCATACGATGATGACGAATCGAAGGGTATGGATGTGGAAGTGACTAAAGTGACTAAAGTGACTAAACCGAAGAAAGAGCGAAAGAAACCCGAACCGAAAAATAAAACACCAAGCAAAAAGACTTCAACGGCAGGTTCGTCGTCATCGTCGTCTGTTTCAACGATTATTGCACCAACGTCACCACCGCCCAAAATCCGTATCAAGGCCGAAGGATTGTTTAAAACAGCTTTTGCACATTCGCTGGCAAAGAATTCGTTGGTTCCAATACCGAAACCCGTTATTGTTGTGCCACCGAAAATCGTACAGAAGGCGACGGTGCCAAAGCCAAAAATCGTTGAAGATGTGCCATCAGTTCAAATAACTATACCTGATCCCCAACCAAAAACTATAACTACAAGTGCTACAGTAACAAAAGTAAGTACGACAACGTCAACGATCGTTGACCCTAAGCCGGTCATAGTGCAATCTTCGCCACAGCCGCCACCATTGATAAAAACTCCAACACAAACGCCGACAAAAGCAACGACACAAACACCGGCCAAAGCAGAGGTTTCATCTTCACCGGTTTCGTCGCAGGCTGAGCCTGCCAAAACATCGAAATCCGAAGAAAACAAGCCGATTGTGTCGAGCACAGAGAAGGAAGAAGAAGAAGAAAAGACGCCGTCCAAGAATGCCAATCCAAAACCGGACACCACATCCAATGCCACCGTCACGACAGCAGCCACATCGACGACGACAAATACAACCACCCGAGCGTCACCAAAAGGAACTGCTGCAAAGGTTGAGTCGAAAGCAAGACATACGAGGAAGGTGAAGGTCGATCAAAGTGGCCCGAAAACACGAGCTCGTTCCATCTTCAATACGAGACACAAATGCGCAGTATGTGGCAAGAAATTCTCAACCAGCGGCAACCTTAAAGCTCACGTCAAAACACACAAACCGAAGGGCAAATTCAATTGTGATAAATGCGGCCGAGTGTAAGTTTGAATTTGATTATTTTGAATCGTTTTTATGAAGAATATTTGAAATTGATTCGGACTTATCCATATTTCTAGGTTCAAGACACAAGTTAATTTGCAACGCCATCATCAATTTCATTTGGGTGAAAAGTTCTCATGTCGCACATGTGGCCGTGTCTATCCAACTAATAGTACATTGAAACAGCATGAAATTTCGCACAGCAATTTTCGGCCGCACAAATGCAACATTTGCCTAAAAACGTTCAAAAGAAGCCAAGATCTTAAGTTTCATCTAAACCAGCATTCGGGTGAGAAGCCCTATCGCTGCCCATACTGCCCGAAAGCATGTAAGTATCGATCAAGAGTATTTACTGATGACATCAATCGAGATTATTTACTGAAACTCTTTGAACTCATTGATTGCAATACTAATCGAACCAATTCTCAATTACAGTTGCCAGTTCTGGGAATTGTTTCTCGCATCGGAAGCGCGTTCATTCGGATAAATTGGTGCCGGCACCGACACCGACCACCACCAGCAAGCGGTCTAGTGCGGTGGAAAATGCGAAGAAACTAGTGAAGGCATGAGTATCGGAGAAATTTGTCGACGCGGATAAACGGCAAAAATTCTCATTTCTTCACAATTTCATCACGAATTTGTCAAAAAGTTGTTTTCTCAAAGAGAAAAAGTGAAATTCGACGACCTAAACTGAACGAACGAACACAGCCGTCATCGTGATGAAACGTGAGAAAAATCATTCGAATTTCTGTGATATTTCTTTAAAATTATGCTGAAAAATCACATGCGATGATTCATTTTTTTCTTGAAGGGCAAAGAAATTTTAGTGATTAGTTAATTAAAATTAGAAAACCGATTTTGGTTATACAAATTTTTTTTTTTTTTTAGATAGAAACGGACATTTTTTTCGAAGAAAAATAGCGTCGAATAGTTTGAGTTGATGAAATAATTGAATGAATATGAGCGACTGAAGAGGTTTAGATTGTCGAGTGTATCTCACAAAACGAAAATCATTTTTAATAGTTGATCTAACAAAACGGAATGAATACAATGCCATATTCACTTATTTTAGTTCAATAAAAAAAAATAAACAACTGCGTTACATGCTTTCTCAAACTTCTAATTTAAGCGAGCGAAATAAAGTCTTATTTTTTGTTATAAAAATATCGATGCGTTTAATTCAATTTCCGAAGATGTTCCGTTACAGATAACATACGATGAACACGAATGTGTGTCCCGTTGTTTTTGACTTTTACTCTCTCTCTCTCTCTTTATCTTTATCTTTTTCTTCTGTCGTACGTATTCCAGTTTGGAATGGTTTCGGAATTCACCATACTTCCAAGCACGTGGTGTGTTTGCGCATTGACATTTTGTGTCTGTCATCCGTCGTGCATCCAGTGGAGCAAGTGGAACGTTGGGAATGTTTGGAAGTATATGTGCAAATAAATTTGATTATATGTGTCAAAACAAATAGGAAAAACCATAGTCAGGCAGGCAGCCAGTTCAACTAGAGACGCACGACACATCGTGTGTATGTGCTGTGCGCTTCGTTCACGATTTCAAGCAAATTTAAAGAAAAAAATATATAAATTCAACACAGAAATAATCGAAGAAGAAAAGAACAACAGCAAAAACAGTCAACCTGAACGCGCGACGCAGCTCAACGTCACATAAATTATTTTTGTTGTTTTAGTTGTAGTTTCGAATTAGAATTTTCCGTTCGCTCGAAAACAGTGCTAATTGAGAGTCGTGTCGAATTTGGTGAAATAAAACGAGGAAAAAAAAAATTCGCAATTATGACGCGTTGCAACTGTGTCAATGTGAATTGAAAAAGGCGATAAATAAGTTCAAAGACAAGTGGATCTTAAAAAGCACAGAGAGAGAGAGAGAGAGAGAGAGAGAGAGAGAGAGAAAGAGGGGGGCGAGTTTAATCTGATTTGTTGATGTGCAATTTGATTTTCAGATTTCCCCCGTACTATCAATGAAAGTATCAATCAAATAAATCATACGCGTGCTCAATCCAATAATATTGATTGGTTCGATTGAAATTCATGCAGAAAAATATGCTTTTGCTTACAAATTAATTTGTAAAGTGATTTTGATTTTTTTTTATCGTTTCGTCTTCGTCGTCGTCGTGGCCGCCTTGTGTCGACTCAATGGAATTTTTTTTGATTGTTTATTTTCGATATGTTTCGAGAAGATTGAGTGGCATTCTCGAGCAAAGTACATGATATAACTCGTGTTTGTGTGTTTGCCAATTTCCAAATATTGTTCGTTTAAACGAACCCAAAATTGAATAATTTATTCGTGGAATTTTTGTCTTGTTGTCGATTTATCAAGTGTGGAAATATTTTTTTTTCAAATATGATGCGTGTCATACGAAGGGTGAACAGTCCAAGTGATTGTGATGAAATTGGCAAATGCTCGTCAATAATGGCAACGTCGCGCGTAAAACTGACATCGATACGATCAAAGTTGCCATTGTTTTATGGGGCTGCTGGTATTTTTTTGTGTGATATAATTGCTAAGGTGAATTGTGAATCAACCGATATTGAATTAGACGCAAAAGCCACTCTACTACACCGCATCGATAGCTTCAATCTTTTAGTGTACACGTTCTTATTGACGTTGACAATTCTAACAATATGGTTATTCAAACATCATCGGGTCAGTTGGCTGCATGAAACTGGTTTGGCCATTATTTACGGTAAGCAATTTCTATTTCATCTTCGTTTTCTTATGCTTCGGTTGTCGCAATAGAATGTTGTTTCTGAGATTCTCAAGATGCTAACTCGATTTACCTAAGATAACATTTTGGTTAGACAACAAATTTAGCTTGATTATACTATCAGCAACGTCGTTTATCATTAAATGAATCGGATGTTTTGATAACCACAAGAAATTTACTTGAGGTAAAGTTCATTGTCGTAAATTAGATTTTTTTTCTCTCTCTGTTGTTGCAATTGTCATAAATTAAGTTGTAAATTTTCAATCAAATTTCCCATTAAATTTACGAACCAAATGAATACGAGCGAATTTACGATTTTTCGATTGAGGAAGTGCAGAGAAGAAAAAAAACACATTCGATGCAAAGTCATTGCCATACGAATATGTGTCACCGTAGTGAATTTGATCGATATAAATATCCACTACGTCGTGTCGTGTTAGCTAGTCACTTGATGCATGAAGCACAACTCTATTATAGATGTGATAGTATAGAAAAAAAACTAGTGCCAACTAGCACAGAATAATCAAGCAAATTTGATGCCAACCGAACATATGTTTCGTATGCCATGAGAAATGAACACTGACAGCGAAGACCGACACTGACTAAGTGTGTGTGTGTTTGTGTTTGTCAAACGACTGATTTGAATACAAATGCCGTCAATTTAAAGAGTATATTCATTTCGCATGAAATAACTCCATTATTTCACCGATAATTCTCGGTGGAGTGTATGTCACACAGTGTGACAACTTGAGCTTCAATTTTAGCTCAAGTGAATCATTTCTTTTATTCTCATCAATTACTCGGGCTGGTTTTAGCGGGAAGATGAAATACGAACCATTGTATCTTTTGTGAATATATCATCTCTTCTTTTGTTTTGTCGTTGAAAAGAAGAAGGAGAAAAAAGTGCAAACGATGCTAGTTAAAGAAGAGTATTTTCCATGAAATGCGATTGTAACTAATAGAGATGATAAATATTTTCGATGTTATTCACAGGTTTATTCGTTGGTGCATTAATACGATACGCTGCCAGTAAAACAACAACCACGCATCTAGAAGTTACACCGAACGTCACGTTCCCAACATATAACCAGACTCTTCCACCTGATACACTATGGCTTACCGTAATTGAATACTTTTTTTTATTCGTCAACATTTTCTCGTCCGATAATTATGCGCCTACCGACTTTTTTTTTTTTGCTTCAACCCCTCATAGTACATCGAATGCGACATTAACATTATTGGACATTTGCACAATGACAATGTCACATATGTTAGCGTCAAATAACATTGCCATGTTGGGGTTTCTCCATGTCGATTTATTCTTTCTCTTTTTTTCCCATTTGCATTTACACCTCTTTTCTATCCATCGTCCGTTTATTTATTTTCCTGTGTATGTTTAATTAGCATTATTATTTCGTGTCAATAATAATTGGTATTGCATTTGCGTTTGTACCGTAGTTTCCGGGAAGTTTGCCCAGTATCAATGTGCCGAATCAAACATATGCTTACTCGTTTCGTGGGCAAATGGTGAATAAGGATGAGAATGGTATCGATTTAAAGGCCATTTTCGATCCAGAAATCTTCTTCAACATCATTCTACCACCGATTATTTTCTACGCTGGATATTCGCTCAAACGGGTAATTCGATGCCATACCTATTTGGGATTTAGTTTAACGTAACTTGAGCTGAAATCCTCTAAACGATTATTTTTTTTGTTCTTGATGAAATTTCATTTCAATGCGATAAATGGCGACGTGCAGAAATATTTCTTCCGTAATTTGGGCGCTATTTTAACATTTGCTATCATTGGAACGGCCATCTCAGCCCTGCTCATCGGATCACTTATGTATGTTGCCATCCAATTTTTACCGGGCAATCTGAACTTTACTTTTCTGGATACACTCTACTTTGGTGCACTGATATCGCCGACGGTGAGTTGTATTTTCCATTCGGTTTAACCGTGTTTTATAATTAATGAGCATGTGAATTTATACGACGGTTGCTGTTTTTTTTTTCTCTCGCGCTGTTGCTGTCGTTCATTTAGGATCCACTAACCATACTAGCGATATTCAGCGCGTTACACGTCGACGTCAATTTGTATGCGCTGGTGTTTGGTGAGAGTGTACTGAACGATGCCGTTGCCATTGTTATGAGCAGGTAAAATAACTCTGTCTAAATGACGAAAGCGAAATTTACATCGTTTATTTCTTTACGGATACACACACATTTAGTGTGTACGACGAAAGCGTAGCGCGTAAAAATGTGACACGTTAAATCCAATGCATTTTCAGTTGTGGAATAAAAAAAAAATGAATCGAAAAAAATGTGGAGTGCATAAAAACCCATCGAGATACGGCGCCTTGATTTAATTCCGCCGCTGTTTGTTACATTTATCGAACAGCTGACTCATTCCGTTTTTTTCCCTTTGTGTTACAGCCAATGGCATTCATTTAAATTGTAATCACACAGAGCCCTATTAATTATGCGCGAAGGCACTTTGTTTCACCATAGATTACACTTTACAACCGAACGTTTTTTTGTAAACGAACAAAATTCAATTGATAAGACCCAGAAAAAAGTTGCTCGTTGACCGTAATTCGTTGTTTTAAAAACCGTTTTTTTTTTTTCTTCACTTTTTCGAGAGAAAATTTCCATAATTCTTCCAAAAGATGACGAATATGAATTCGTCATTTTTTTATTTTCACTCCATATTTGTTCCATTCCAATGTGATATCCTGCATTTTAGACTTTCATCTCTGAAAATGTCATCCAGTTATTACGTCATCTTTTTACGCTCTAAACGTGCCAATTGTGATTTGTATGTGATTTGAATTCAAATTGTTCATTTACATTTTCCAGTTCAATTCAAAAGTACGATAAGCATTATTCGAGCTCGGGTGGTTTTGAAGCGGGCGCATTCTTTCACTCGGTCGGCGATTTTTGTCGCATTTTCTCGCTATCGCTATTGATTGGTGCGGTCATGGGGTGTGCAACAGCGTTAATGACCAAATTTACACGAATCCGTGACTTTCCACTACTTGAATCGGCATTGTTTGTCCTTATGTCATATTCAACGTTTCTCATCGCCGAAGTGAGCGAACTAACAGGTGGGGGAGAATAATATTAATAATTTATCATTTACGAACCGTATTTCACACATATATATATGTTCTCAATTGATTTTCGAATATAGGAATTGTTTCCGTCTTATTTTGTGGCATTTGCCAAGCACATTATACGTACAATAATCTATCGGACGATTCAAGACTGCGAACCAAGCAAATCTTTGAGTTGTTAAATTTCCTCGCGGAGAATTTCATTTTTTCATACATTGGCGTATCCATGTTCACCTTTCCAAAGCATCATTTCGATTTGTGGTTCATTACCACGGGATTTGTAAGTAAAAATTGCGATGGCAAATTTCATTACAACATCATTTGCATAATTGACGTGTTGTCCCTTGACAGATTTGTGCAATGATTGGTCGCGCAGCAAACATTTATCCACTTTCATTTCTACTGAACCTGGGACGTAAACCGAAAATTCCTATCCATTTTCAGCATATGCTCTTTTTTGCTGGTAAGTTTTTTGTAGTTTCAATTCATTATGGCCAATTAATTTTAATTGAATTTGATTTTGGGTGCGGCATTTTCCACTAATTCTAATTTTGTTCCCAATCGAATTCGGCTAAAAAAATAGGCTTGAGAGGTGCCATGTCTTTCGCATTAGCCATTCGTAACACGGTATCAGAAGCGCGACAAGCGATGCTGACAACAACTTCGTTGATTGTGATCGTGACGGTCATAACTCAAGGCGGTGCGGCGAATTATTTGCTCAAATTTTTCCAAATACCGTAAGTCATACCGATTGCAAATGTCAATAAATCATTAAATTAAAACCATTTCGTTCTACTATCTCTGGATCGCAGAATCGGCGTGGAAGATGAGACTGAAGCTCTGAACCATCATGAGGGTCGCAATGTAAGTACATTATTGCCCATATATATTGTCAATAAAATTAGCAGTAACAAAACGTCATAAAAACCAGTTGTCATGTGAATCTGATAGGCTTTTTGTCGCACACTAGCTGTTTGATTTGTTAACTACAATTTGAAATTAGAACTTAGACAAAACAAAATGAATTCGTTTGAAATGTTCTTGTTATCTTGTTATATATCGTTTGTTTCTTTCTTTCTGTCAATTTTTTTTGTCACACACTCACAATCGTGTATCGTGTTCGTTTCGCATCATAAAAAAAATGTATGATAATAACAATCACACAGGTTTACAATTCAATGGAAAACACATCAGCGGTGCGTAATGTATCTTTGTCCTAAATAAACCGTTCATTTCTATATGTGTGTGTGTGTGTGCTTTTATGTTTGTTTATTTTTCGAAATCACACCATTTATGTTTTTTTTTTAATAAATACATTTTGCTTACGTTTGTTTCAAACCAAAAACAACACATTTATTTTAAATGAATCACTAATCACCATTAATTTCACTTGAATATTGTGACTTGGATATGATACAGTCAATCGACACCGGATTAAATTTGGGTCAACTGCACGTTAATCCAAGATGCTCACTGGTGAGGAAAACACACAATCTCATCCATCTCCGTCATTTTTTTGTTCTCACTTTGTGTTTTGTATTGTCGTTTGTGTTTTTTTTCGCTTCTGTTTTGAGTTGTTTGCAGACAATTATGGCTCGCGCTCATGCGATTGTCATGGTTTTTCATTTTGAAGAAAAAGCGAAATCATTTTCATTTATTTGTTCTTTTCTCTTCATTTGTAGGATTTTCCTTTCTCCTTCAAAATAAAAAAGTTTAACGAAGAAACCTTTTAAGAAAATTCTTTTTAATTAATTTCATTTGGTCTTTTTTTCGCTTGCAGGATATTGAACATGGAGCGTCACCAGATGGTCCAAACGTTTCGACAGTGCCAAAGAAATGCGAGAAAGCGCTATTAGCTAGGATTTGGGGCAATTTCGATAAAAAGTAAGCCATTTCCATCTCAAATATACTATTTCTGTGCAATTCATTTTAGTTTTCGAACGATTTTTTTTCTATTTATTTGATAAATGTATCTTTCAAATCGAAATTTCCATTTTAAATTCGTTTCCTTTGCTAAAGTCTCCATTTCAAGCAAATGATTGAATCGTTTTTAATTGAATCATGCGCTTTTGATCAAATTATCCAATTCATTTATTTTCCTGTTTCCAATTACAATATTCTTCGAATTATGTGAAACCTTTGTTTTTCCAGTTATATGAAGCCGTTGTTAACGCATTCCCGGCCCACGTTGCTGGAAACGTTGCCGGTGTGCTGTAATCCACTCGCTCGATTGCTAACAACGACGGAACAATTGACGCAGGTAATTTCGTGCGATTTTCACTTTTGAGTTTTGTTTCGAAGATCCTAAATTGGTTCGTCTTTTTCTTACTTTTTTCTTTGCGATTCAAAGAATTTTCATTAGCGGTATACCTTCGTAGAAACCAAGCAAGAAAAAACAAATGAACTTTCAAGGTTTTTAGTTTAGTAATATGGGTCGTTTTCATTTTGCATGAATAATAATGATTTGTTCAAATCCCCGCCCCTTTAACTAACCGAATGATAAAATTGGTTCAAAAACAAAACAATTTGCCATATTTCCCTTCAAAATCTAACACAAATTCTAATCTAACAACATCAAAATCATATTATTTCTGCATGTATTCGACAACGATGCTTTCAAAAACGCAAAAGGAACGAACGAATATTCGACACTCCGATTCGGATTCCGATCTCTGCATTAATGACAACGATGACTATCGTTCGGGCAGCATAAGTGGCAGCACGCTAAATAATAACATCGGCACGCTTGATTCACGCGTAAGACGCAGTTCGAATGGTCGTGTAAGTATTCGTTTGGTGTCGGACGAACAGAGCACAATATTGGCCACGTACAAAAATGTCGATCACTGAAATGGAATTTAGTGAAGACACACACACACACATACAACACACCACTATTCTAATGCCGCAACACTCTAACTAAAGTTACAAAGAAAAATCAAACCAAATGGATATGGTCTCTAGTCATTCTGAAATTTTATCAAAAATAGAATACTAACCGAAAATTTAACCAAAATGTAAGGATTTTCTACTTTCTATAGTTCAAAACATCGAGCATTAATATACATACTATTTTTCTGGGTTGCTTTTTAACAAAACGCTTGAAATTACCAAATTCACCGAATAAGGATCGATGCCTTCACACTATACTAACGCCAACGCTTCATTCATTATTTTCATTTCTTGTATTTTTTTCAGTTTTTTTCCATCTTGTGTTCGTTCATTTCATTTAGTATTTTCATTTTTTTGTGTTTTTTTTTCTTTCATTTTATGTTTTTCAGGTTAAACCGTGAACATTTCGACGTGCGCCAGTTTTGCTTATTTTTGCTTGTGCATACAAATGATTTTGGTGACATTTATGTTTGATTCAGCCAATCAATTCTGTTTTTGATTCCGAATCATATTCATATTCAAAATCATTTAACCAGAAATTGTAGATATTTAAAAGAAAAAGTCTGTTTATGCTTACCCATCAAGACAAATGTGATCATTTTTCTGCATTATGAAGGTTAACCTTCACAACTTTTTTGTGTTTTGCAAAAAAAAAAAAAAAAAAAAAGAATACGAGGAAATAGTGTGTTTGATAGGCCTGTTATTTCACACATCGAAATCGGATATTCTTGCAAAAAGAATATTGAACTAAAGATATGCGTTGTTTGCATCGAAGCGAAAATTTGTTAAATGAATATTGGTCAGTTTAAATTAAAATGTGTGTCAATTCAGGCACAATCAAACACACTCCTTCAGCAAGTTTTTTTTTGTAGAAATTTTGTGTGAAGAAAAAAGAAAAATGTGAAAATCTAATGTAATTAGAATGTTATTTGCACATGAAAGACGATTGACTTGAATTATGATTCAAATGAATAAAAAAGAAATAAAACAGAATTTTTTTTTTTGTTAAGACAAATTGAATTAGAATTTTGAGTGAGTTTTAACGCATTGGAAAGGATCAGGGACCTGTGTTACCAATTTACAAAAAAAAACAACCAACTGTTAACATTTTTGCTTTATTTTATTTCATTTGTTTTAATTTATTTGTTATGGTTTATACATTATTGTGATTTCTTTTGTTGTTTACACCTAAAGTTCCACCATTTGAACAGTTTTAGAAACTGAAACAGAAACCATCTATTCAACACCAAAACTGTTTCTCTCATTAGAATTGAAGGGCTCAAGTGTGAAATGATAAAATTAAGGATATTTAAAATGAAAGAAATAATAATTTAAATTGGGTGAATCAACATAATTTAGACTTTATTTTGTTAGGGTGGTTGTGACAAACAGAAAGTGAAAAAAAAATAATCTAGGTAAAATGAAACAATGAATTGAGAATGTTCAACATTCGAATATTTCAATGGATTCTTGTTCAAAACGTATGGTATTGTTGTTTTGGTATTAAGACAGAGAGAAAGAAATAAAAACCAATCTATTTAGTCTTAATTCATTTAAAATATGTTACTACTGCATTAAATTCTATTGTTTAACTGTATAAGAAGATGTATTTATTTATGAGTGTGACTCAACATACATATAATATATTTTCATCCTGTTTCGAATGAATGCCACTTTCGTTCCACATTCCATCGGAATATTGGCTTCAGAGAATGGGTAAAATATTAAATGGCATTTCGGAATCTGTCCAAATTTGTTTATTGCATCGATTGAGAGCACAGAATTTCGTTTGCTAAATAAAATGCCGTCAAAACAGAAGTGCATTCAAAATGCCTACTTCTTTTTTTATGAATCAAAAAACACTTTTGAAACAACTCAAACTATATAATGCCTGAAGAATCTATTAGACTTATTCAAATTTTAGTGTGTTTTGACATGGATAGATATGAAGTAAAGAAGGGAAATAAAATTTAGTTGTTAATTACAAGAGAATGTGAATCCTGTTGTGAATTGCTAAACTCAAAGAAAAACATTTACAAATTAAATTCAATAAAATTGTCTATTGAACCTAAACGCTTGTGTTTTCTGTTCTTACCAAAAAGAAGATTTTTCTAAAGAAAAAAACTTTTTTTTTTCAAATTTGTACGTTTTTTTCCGAATTTCAATTCTAGGCTCTGATTTGGTGAACAAATCGTTGTGATTTGGTGAACAAAACAAAGAAAAACCATTTCGTTGCAGTGAGCTACGAAATAGGTGGTATTTAATCTATCGTTGGTGATTCCGTGCAAAAATGTTGTGCAACCAGTCTCTTTTGTTTCGTAAAGGGTTTAACATTTATCTTAATTGGCAAATTAAAATCTATTGATATACACGAGGCAATTATTTCATTAGATAATTATAGGTCTTAATTATTTATACAATTAAAATTGAAGAAATTGTGGTAATGAGCTAACTAAAGGATAAAAAACTTTGTTCAAAATCTTAACAACAGATCAACATTCATCAATCTGAGGCTGGTAAGTGCTGAACTCACATGAAAACTAAAAATAATTTTTGACTAATACTTTGAGACCAGATATTCTTGACTCAACACCTAAAATTCGAATACGCATCATGAACTAAATGAAAAAAAAAGCTAACTAGTCTCATACTAAATGCAACATTGTTACAGTAAAATTGCACGTTTCTTTACATTTCGAAGTATTCGTCTCCCTTGTAAAGGTCCTTCTTAATATTTAAATATGCCGTTTTATCGCTGTTCTTGTGTGCAGAGTAATTGAAATCAACCTGAATATTTGAATGAGGCTCATTAACTGCGGCTGAATTACACGGTATTTCAATCAAAAGACGAAATGATCCATTAAACCTGATCGCCTTGTTCAAATTACACGGAAATACGATTCTATTTTTATCGGATCGATTTGTTTGTCGAAATCAGAAAAGCGAAAATTTCGGTTTGATTTAATCAAAATATTTTCGAGCAAAAAGCGTCCACAGATTCTATCCGTCACATTCACCGTCAAGAACCGTATTTATGACTTACTTTCAAATTATTCAGAAATTCAATGCTTGCTATCTCACATGTGAGCTCAGCTTTCGAATTATTTTCAATTGATAAAATTATCCCAAATTACTCGAAACTAATGACATAATTAGTTTCGAGTAATTTATTGATGATGTCACACGTGACGCTACATTGAACTCGAATTTTCGATTATCCTTGATTTCATATTCCCAACGGTCATAATTTCATGCATAAAATTAGATACCACATCAAAAGCATCACGCATTTCGTAAAGCGATAGTGAAACCGACAGAATTCGAACAAAACCAAAATAGAATGACCAACATTTTCTTTGAAAATCTGATAAATAATTCTGTTTGTAAATAACAGTACACTGTGGGAAGTGTCAACTTAGATATGAATTGTTGGTTTTTGCACAGTTTCTTTTTTTTTGTTGCGGTGCTATAAGATACGATGATATTTGAGATTCTTAAAATTAATGCAAAACATTTTTCTTTAAATTTTTTAAATAGATTATTAATTTTTAGCACAGTTTGGTCTTATCACTTGTATCTTGTGAGTCACTTCAGAACATGACAACGCTTTTGTTCAACTCAGTTCGATTTGTTCCACTTGTGCTTCTCAATAACTGTAACACCTGTTTGGTTGGAATTAAAACAATAATCGATAAACTAGTAATGATTGAAATATGCATGAATCGCTGACATTTCAGTGGCTTAGTTTATAGACTGTGGTGGTTAGCACATTTTGAACAAATCGAAAAATGAACAGAAAAAATTGGTTTTTCAACGTGCACAACAAAGGAACGTTTTTAGGTTCATAACACAGCCATTACGATTGATATCACCACGACTCCATTCCGACGCTGTAACACCTTTTAGAATGAGATAGCACTGTTGAACTAGGATGATGAGACAGCAAATTGCCATAACTGTGGCATAGATTGAGCCGACGAAGCATAATGCAATGCTGAAAAAGGCAATTGAATTTAAAAAAAAATTATTCAGTCAACTATGTCATTTGGTTAATAAAATGAATAAGATGGGCATTTATAATTCAATGTGTGACTCACTCGTATTGGTCAAAAACGTCGCTGCAGTCATCGGGCAGTAATACACTAATGCTAAATATACGGAACACGAAAAACGGATGGCAAATTGATGTCATCGATAGATTGGCACCGAATAGAAGTGCGAACATGGCAAGGAAGCAGCCGGCCAAAAAGAATTTGTGATTCGATTGACCGATGCAGCAATCAAGCCAAATGCTGTGATGGTCACGCTTTGCGATGCATTGTTGGCAGATTCTACAATGGAATGCACGTGGTGGGATGTATCGACGGCACTTAGGGCATACGTTATTCGTTTTTGACATCATAAAATCGCATGGATCCGAATCGGTTTCCGAATTCTCTTTCGAATCGTCATTTTCATCCACCTCTTCAACGTCCATTAGAAGCCGTGTTTGATCCGTATCACGTATGCTATCAATATCATCAGTTTTTGGTGCCACGTAATTGTCTGCCGCTTTTTGCCGTGTCTGTGATTTACAGTGAGAGAGAAGAAAAGAAGAGAAAAAAAAAAACGTTGCACCATAAAAACAGTTTAATAATAATACAACAGCAATTTGATAAAATTGTGTGAAATGACATCGATTCCCGACAACTGACCTTGTAGAAGCAGAACGCAGCTGCAAACATTGTTGTGATAAAAATGAAATTTTCCTCGGGCAGTAATTCCATCAGTGGTACAGTCATTTCGAATAAAATCCATAAATAAATGCCTGACCATAGTGACCACATGAAAAAGAATTTTGTGCGCGGTGCAAATGATTTGCGTAGCCATTGAGCATAGCCCAAGAACAATGGCATCACAATACAAATGGTAATCATAAAATAGAAATTTATTGCCGCCACACTGAACATTAACGGCAATAAAACTATCGGCAACACGGCATCGATGGATATTTGCTTGACACCACCGGCCATTCGAATTCGTTCCCTAATTTTAATTAGAATTTTTCTCATCGTTTTTATCCAACAAATATTCTATGAACAAAGGTATTGACTATATCAAAGCGAAAGAAAGAAATTAGGTCTGACTGCAACTACACATGATCGAACACTAACAACATCGATGTCAAACTAAATGCAAACAAATTGACCACATAGAGAAAATTACGGCTGGTTAACAGCATGGATGGTGTGTGTGTGTGTGTGTGTGTTTGACAGTTGACGTCTCTAACCAAATGTCACCGAATAAACACAACAAACGACAGCGCACACACACTCACACAAGCACATGCTCGTAAAAAAGCACGAGTACGCTCAACACTGTTTGAAACGAATTTTTTTTTTTCGTTGCTTATCGCAGAACGATGAGTATGTTCAGTATTGGATAACCAGTGCGCATAGACCGTGCAAAAAAACAACAACCAATTCAGGACGACAGCAGCTCAATAAGGGAAAAAACACAAGCCCAATTATGGCAAATTAAATCAAAATCGACCTGATTTGTGTGACTGAAACTCAGCCAAAGACGAACGAGAGTAGAAATTGAAAAAAAAATATGTGAAACATCGGCAATTTGAAACCAATTTTCTGTGATAATGTGATATAACAACAACTAAACCAAACAAAAAAAAAATTAAATAGCAAAGAAAAAAAAAGATAACCACATAAAATTCGATGTACAAAACGTATCAAGCCTCAAAACCAATTTTATTAATTAGTCTAAATTCCATTTGAAAACGTTTTTATTCACGTTGAATTGTTTTGTTGTTTGTAATTTTACCGATGGCAAAGTCATATAGAATTTTTTTTCAATAGAATCATGTCGATGATTCGATGCTGTTTTGAGCCTGTTGAGCTCCCCGAATTTGTTGATACCATGATTAAAAAATGTACAGCACCAAGTTGTAAGTATAAATGAAATTTATCAAAAAAAAATTCCAGCCATTAAAAACACATTTTATCAATTTCAAATTTCATTTATTTCAATTGTCACGATGCAATGAGACGATTCGTTGTGTTTGTTCCCCTATTATGAAACCACACAAGGAATAAAACATTCGTTTACCAATATTGGTTCTCATAAATCGCGTATTGCCTTCTATATTATGACTTTTCTGATTTGTCAGTTTTTATCAATAATGTCAGTGGTGTCAGCTCGTTTGCTCTCTTTCTCGATCGTATTTGTATTGTGGCCGAGCCACTAGAGCATTTGAAACCATTGAAGCGTGTGTCTGTATACGTGCACTACTGCGTTCGTGTCTGCATACTAATCACACACAATATGGACGACTGTGTGTGTGTTCGTATTCCGTAGTAGTTACATGATAAAAAAAAAGTATTTCTCGATTGTGTCATTCCGTCCAACTAGCTCAGTAGACGGACGTCACAACGGAACCAACAAATTAATTATAGATTTTAGCCCATTTGTGTACAGCATTTTCTTCTTGTGTTTTTATTCTTTCCATTCCCTTTCATCCTATTACCCAATCACAAATCATTTAGCATTGATTTTAGTTTTAATGGGCAAACCATAAGCAATATACCATGAGTAAGTTATTGGTGTTTCCATTCTAAATTTAAAGTGTGTGCGTTTTTTTTTCTTCTCTATCGATTTTCATAGCCTTTCGTTGACATCGAAAGTGATATTATGCATAAAATGTGAAATCTGGATTGTGTTCGACTATGACACAATGCTATCATTATCATCATCATCATTTTTCCTCTTTCCATTTGTGCATCGACATAGAACTGTCCGTTCTAAATATAACATTTAACATTTAATTACCATTTCAATCGAAAGGTTGCTGCGGTTGCTGTTCGGCATTGAGACCTCGCTACAAGCGATTGGTTGACAATATTTTCCCCGTAAATCCAGACGATGGCTTAGTCAAATCCAATATGGAAAAGCTAACGTTCTATTCGTTGAGCTCACCAGAAAAATTGGACAGAATTGGCGAGTATTTGTACCAAAAAGCAGCCAAAGACATTCATCGCAAACGATACAAGTGAGTGTTTTCTTTTGCATTTTTCATTCGTCCGCTTTTTTTCCCTTTCTTAGTTAGCCTTCTATATCAATTTATCTATAGCTAGAGAATCTATATTGAAGAGTTTTTGAAGGGTGATTCACTTAAAATGTTCTATTGTATATAATAAGACTGGCTTCTATAACAGCTATATCCACTTGTGGGTGAAACATATACTAACTATATCTATATTTATAACAGGCTTGTGGAAATCGCAATGGAGGCTATGGATTTGCTGTTGATGGCGTGTCACGCACAAACGCTCAATTTGTTCGTCGAATCATTTTTGCGTATGGTTCAAAAATTGATGGAAGACGCAAATCCAAATTTGCAAATTTTGGCTACCAATTCGGTAAGTGCGAACTTTGACATTTAAAAGGTGCTGTTGATGATATATTTGAAATTGTATCGGGTTTTTTTTTAAAGGAAAAAGGTCATTGTTTGCTCAACAATACATCCTTTTCAGTTCGATTTATTCCCAATGGCTAGTGCATTTATGTGAACTGCGCATTTTCTTTACAGTTTGTTCGATTTGCCAACATTGAAGAAGACACTCCGTCATATCATCGGCGGTACGACTTTTTCATCTCGAAATTTTCATCGATGTGCCATGGCAACCATGAAAATGTTGAACTTCGAGATTCGATCCGTATGGCTGGCATTAAGGGTTTACAAGGTGTCATTCGAAAAACGGTATCAGATGATTTGGTCGAGAATATCTGGGATAAACATCACATGGAGAAAATCGTTCCATCGCTTTTGTTTAACATGCAAAATATGGTAAGCATTGTTTGATCAACATAACTAGTTTTTTCAATGCAATTTTTTTTCAGTTTTCATATAAAAATGAACAAAATTAAAGTATAAAACTGAAAATATCAAACAAAATTGATGATTCTGTATTAATTCGTTGATTAATTACATTTTTTTTTTTAAATATTTCCAAACAGTCTTCGACGCCGATAACGTCAACCGAAGATTCTACGGTAGCGACACCACCAGTTTTGGCGGAATCTGTACTTCGTGAACTAGTCAGTCGAGCATCATTCACTCACATAAAATCTGTACTTAAGCCGCTATTGATGTAAGTCCCCCAAAACGTAAAATTTCACCAACTTTCGACTCTAATCATACAAATATTCATTGTTCTTCCACCTATAGGCATTTGGATCGCCACGAATTGTGGGTGCCGAATCAGTTTGCCATACAAACATTCCGTATCGTTATGATATCGATTCAGCCACAGTATTCGTACACGGTTGTCGAAACGCTAATGCAGCACTTGGATCAGAATATGAAATCATCGCCGCGTACCAAAACCTCTTTGGCCGTTGTTCTATCGAAAATTATTGCAATTGCGGCTGGAGAAAGTGTTGGTCCGTCAGCTTTGGATATTATAAATAATTTGCTTACACATTTGCGCACAAGTACGCTGAGCACGCAAAGCGAACCAACATTGGAGGAGTCACAATATCAAGAAGCATTGATAAATGCTCTGGGTGAATTTGCTAACCATCATCCAGACTATCAGAAGATCGAAATCATGTTGTTCATCATGAATACGGTGCCGGATTTGACAAAAACAAGCAAAGCCGATCAAATGTTACAAACGATTCTATTGAAGAGTTTACTAAAAGTTGGCGTTCAGTATCATACCATTTCATTTGAAAAGGCATTCCCGTCGTCATTCCTACAACCATTGCTTCGAATGGCACGCGCTCAACATCTACCAACGCGATTGATTGTAATGAAGATATTCCAAGCACTTTTAGACCGGCATCAAAATCAAGTGACTTTGAGTGTAATCAAAACGAAAAACTACGTGGATTTGAGCTTGGAAACACCATCAAGATCTGACATTATATTTACACATAAACATGGAGCAAATATTATGCAAGCTTTGCTGGACACGCTGCTTATTGACATGAATACCGAAGCTTTGATCGCCACATTTAATACAGCCGCGTTGATGGTCGTTGAAATGTGCTCGGGTGAAACGATTCAAGAGTTTTTGCTGTTTATTTTGGGGTAATGTTTCATTCACTATTGACAATTTTGCAATTCATTAGTAAATTTTGTTCAATTTAATATAATACCTTCTTCATTTTCTTCAAATAGAATACAGCAACTGGCCGCTACCACCCAAGAGCTATCTGAAACGCATCGATGCAACTTGCACATCATATCGATTGCATTGTTTTCGTTGGTGTGTCGAGTGACTGGTATCAACAGTTTGACAGAATATTCGGATAAAATCATAGCCGATCGAGCAATTGAAGCAACCCATTTCCTACCGCCATTGATTGAGACGAGTGGAAAATTCAATTTGAATATTCCGCAAGTGATGATGGATAAGGTAGATTTTTTACTTTAATTTTGCCTTCACTTGAGACCATTCTAAGCTGATGCTCTCTGTTCTTCCAGATAACACTCGCCGAATGTTTGCAAAGTGCTGGCATTGAATCGGGCCGATTGCAAAGCGGTGTGCCATACAGTTTGAATTCGGGCGATCAAATGGGACCACGACAATCGTGGGTCGATCCATCCAATGTGCATGCGGTTGCAATGTCAATGTCGCGTGCAAGCAATGGTGATATTCAATCGTTCAACGATAATGACAGTGTAAACAGTTCACCAGGTGTACAAAGACGTGTGTTAACCACAGAATTTAACTTTGACGCAATGAAACGAGTGTTGGGTGAACCAACCGAAGCCATAAAACGTGAAAATTCGGAAACACAACGGCAACTAGTGAAAACATTCCGAAATGCAAACTTTGAGGACTTAATGCGGCGAACTGAGCCCAAGCATGATGTCATCCAAACACGGTTGAGTGATTTATTCAATTCTTTGGCAGTTGAACGGCAAATCATTGGTCAAACTGATCAATTTAAAACGAGTCAATCGAATAAGTCGGTCTACGAAAATAACTTCCCCGAATTATTCTTCTACTAATATGATCCAGGGAAAATGCTAAACTTCCAATCTTTGTGGTGATCGGTTTTGGATGTGGGAAAAAGAGACGAGAAATTGTTGGCTCATAGAATGACCGAAATTACTTATAATATTTACACAAAATACATCTTATTGATGGCTATCATCTTTGGTTTTTACAAAATATCTTGTTGGAAAGTACAATATCTTTGTAACAAAAATTCAAAATTCAAGCAATTCTATATTCCTATATATATACTCCAATAAAAGCAACATTTCATTCAAAAAATGGTCAAAGTTCATTTGTTAATCGGACAATTATTTGTTGCGCCCGTTTTCTTTCATACATGGCATACACATAGAGTAGCTCAATCGCTTATCTATTGTGAAACTATTACTGTTTAGCGCGCGCACTCCACTTCGTCATACTGGCACACACTGACATATGTACGTCAGTGTGGTGAGAAGTGTCAAACATGGTTTTGGTGTGTGACGTAACAAGAGAGTGAGAGAGCGAAAAGCAATCGACTGGCAACACTGATCACAGAGCGACATCTGAAACAGACACTCATTCGATGACATTCTCGGTTGTGTGTTGTTATTCCGGAGTGTGCAAAAGAAGAAGAGACAGCGAAATTTCGTGTGCAACAAGAGAATAGCCGGCAAATGTGAATTGTCACCGAAAATTGTGTACATTTGTTGGTGGTAGATGTTTGGTTTTGGTGTTTGCAGTTTTAGATGAACGAATTTAGTGAGTATATGTGCGGATGACCTTCACACAACCTTAAATGCATGTGTGTTTAATCGATATTCAGAGCATATTAGCGGTATGCAAGGCTCATTGTGTATTGTGAGCGCACATATAATTTCAACCAATCGACAGATGGTTGTGCATAGCGGTTGTGATAAGGATGAAATAGTGGGAAAAATTGGAATATCCATTGAAATAGAGCAGTGTTTCCAGAACATACAATTCACCACCAATTATGATGGTGATTTGATAAAAGTGAAAGTGGTTGAATGAGTGGAAGAAAACACGATTCAATGTTTTTATTTTATTTACAAATGAGTCAGTACTTGAGAATTTTCACTTTGAAATTGTTTGTTATTAAAACACACACACATAAAGGCATTGTTGCTCTCCATTAATGTTATTCAAAAGAGTTATCTGAAATTACCATGTGATTACATCTGTTTGAATAAATTTCCAGAGCATCTTTTTTTGTACATGGGTCAGTGGGCAATGACGTCCAACTGATAAAAATATTCAATGATAGCAGAAGCAATTGACAGAAGAAAAAAAACAGATAGACGCAAATTATCGTATCAAAGGCATGACTTTAAAATCAAGTAGCAAACACACGAAATTTCACAGATTTCATACGATGAATAACAACCGCCAAAAGTGCACGACCCAATACATGTGCACATAGAATTAAATCCCATGATTTTCATTCTCCGACTCAACACATTGTCTCACTCTTGTTCGTTTTTCTCGTCATTTGGGTCTCGTGTATAAGTTCGGTGTGTTTAAATTACGTTCGTTTAGTCGGTTTAAGGTAATCAACCGAAGCGGTTGATTCAAAAACATTACACTTAAGCGCACAGTAGGTTTTTTTTTCTGGTGTTATTTTTTTTTCATTCGTTCTTTCTCTCTGATTGCTTGAGATTTGTCGTGCGTTGCGAGCACAAACATGTGAATTGTGTCAAACACACGACCGAAATTCATTCGTTGTTGTTTTTTTCTGTGTGCATGTATTCATTTTCATGTATAAAATTCATAGCAAACATTTTGTTTGGTGTGTAGGCTGGCTGCCATCGTTACCGTCGCTTGTTTTGTCGCACACACTCTGGATTAGAGGCTCAAGCAAATCGTTATCGGCGCCGTGTTTATGCATGTGTGTATGAGTGTCTGTGTGTCGTTGTGTGTTGATGTGATGTTTGTTGCACATTTCTCTGTCACATTGTTGTGTCGATCTGAGAAGAAGAGAGAGAGAGAGAAAGAGAGAGTGAGAGAGAGAGAGAGAGTGTGAACACCATTCAAACTGATATTTCGTGACTGATGATTTTTCAGTTAGTCGATTTGACTCCGTTCAATCAGACCGTTGTAATTAAAATCATATATAAACGACGCTCGGCCACATTTAACACTTCAGTTCTAAAACACATTCGAACTTTAACGCATTGCAATTTCCAGTTCCTAGTCAATCTATCGACTTTGCTCTATACAAATTGCAACCAATTACCATATAGTGTGATTTGAACAATTTGATTTATTTTTGCTCATAGAAACAAACAATCAACGACTGTTTCAACGAATTTGTTACTTTTCGACTGGATTATTCAAGTAAAACCACTCAATTTCCGACTAGAATTAATTAAAGTTGAAAGAAAAAAATCGTATCGAGTGACTATGGCAGCAGATCGAACCAGGCAAAATCAAAATGGAGTGGTACAACCGCTACTCACCGGTAAGATAAATCTATGTACTTTCGCTATTATTACAAACACCACAAATCTTCGTTATTTTCAATTGCTATCACGCACTTTCTCAATGTGAGAAGTGCTTTTTTGTTCATTTCCAAATGGAATTTACTCATAACTATTACGCAATTTCATTTCAACATTAACTCATTTTAATAACGAAAAAAAAACTACTCTTTTCATACTGACGAATCAATTTTAGTGCTAACGATTTGTATATATTGTGTCACTTGAAAAATGCGACAGTCACACAGTTTACATAATGAATCTCTTTAATGGCAATCATCTCTTATCGCGCTTATATTTTATAAATAACATGTGTCAGCACTGTCAATGCTCATATATCAAGAATTTATCATTAGAGCTGCAATCAAGCATTCTTTTCATCGTTTGTTTTTTCGCCTTAATTTGTAGACCTCTATCAAATCACAATGGCGTATGCTTATTGGAAATCGGGCAAAGTGGACGATAACGCCGTGTTTGATTTGTACTTTCGGAAAAATCCATTCGATGGTGAATTCACGATATTTGCTGGTTTGGACGAGTGCTTGAAATTTCTGGACAACTTTCGCTATTCGGAATCAGACATCGAATATCTCAAACAAACACTACCCGATGGCATCGAAAATGATTTCTTCGACTATCTCGCAGATTTAACTGCCAGGGATGTAATACTCTATGCCATTCCTGAAGGAACCGTCGTTTTCCCTAGGTAACAAGTCAATCAATGAATGAATTATCGCATCGCAAGGAAAAATTGCGTCATATTTTTGATATTATACTTCAATCTTAATGGCTTTTTTCGTACTTTTTAACCATATCAATTTAGAAAAATATGGTTTTCTTTGCTTGAAATAATCTTGCCTGCATAAAAATCCGCAACATTTCAACTCAGAATCGGAAATTTCCGTTTTGTAAAGTGAATACTTTGATATGTTGATAAGCCAAATGTCCAATGTTCTATTTACAGAGTGCCAATCATTAAGATAGAGGGCCCATTGATCATCGTTCAGCTGTTGGAAACAACACTTTTAACACTGGTCAACTATGCAAGGTAATCTCTTTAGTTTCGTATGAAACACTCTGAGCAAGATAAAAAAAAATGCTAGGGGTTTCACGCAACTTAAAATTCATCTAAAATTTCAATATTTCTCTCTTTTCTCTAAAATTCTCTGGGATTCACCAAAATCCGTATTATTTCGAAATATTTCAACATTCACCTTGAAAATTATGTTCTGGAAGTTGGTTTTGGTTGATCTCCAGGATCGTTCAAAACTGCTCCCGGTTCTGGAAGTGGGTTTTGGTGGATCTTCAGGATGGATCAGACTGGGTTTGACAATGCCCTGGTCCATCCTGAGGATCCACTTCCAGAACCAGGAGCGGTTTTGAACAATCCTGAGGATCCACCAAAACCCACTTCCAGAATTTTTAGATTCAAAAAATTCTAAAAAAATTCGAGTTTATGAACAAAAAGAAGCAATATCTATAGTTTACACATAAAATGGTTTTATTTCCAGCTATTTAGTAAAATCTTCGGCCTTCGAGTTTGCGTGAAACCCCTAGAAAAAATGCCCCATGCTGACTTCATTGATAATTTTAATTATTTTGAATTTTATTCATTTTCTTTTTTAGTCAAAATTTTATTATTTTCTAAATGATTTTCTTGATTCTCTGTATTAAATACGACAGTTTAATGGCAACGAATGCAGCACGATATCGAATGGTTGCTGGTAAGAATGTGAAGCTCTTGGAATTTGGTTTACGTCGAGCACAAGGTCCAGACGGCGGTTTATCAGCATCAAAGTACGCTTATATAGGTAAGATAACGTTATCAGAAGATTTATTGAAAAATGTGCATTTCATCACTTCGAAATCCAAATTTGTCATACATGATTTCAATTTTGATGTCTCGCTCAATTTTATATTATTTAATTTGTGATATAGAGACGACTTACACGGAAAATTTCGTTTTATTGGCCTCATAAAAGATTATCATGCATTTGACAAAAATTTTCGCTGTGTAAAGTTGAGATATCACGCTCGTTGCAATTGTTCTCCTCTTTCCCAAGCACTTTAATTACTTTATTATCGCTACGATTGCCTTTTTCCACAACCTATGATTTGGAATGGAAATCAAAAGAGAGACATTGTTGCACTCGTGCAATGCTTCCCTAATGCAATCAAATGTCTTTTTCATTAAGTTCGATAACTTGTCGTGAGCTTCTTCAAGCAAATTCAAAAAAACTAAACGAACCGAAAGCGAAATCATCGTCGGGAAATCGCGTGGAAAATCGCAGCATATTCAGCACCTTGGTCGTACACCGAAAAATAAAAAAAGGAACAATCACAAAATAATCAATAGTCGGTGCTATGATTCAGTATTGGCTTATGTGCACAATTAAAAGTCACACGATATCTTGCTTCCATGAAACGATTTAAAAAAAAAAAAAACCAAGAAGAATGAGAAGGAGTGTAGCTTCGGAAAAGAAATAAATAAAAAAAACGTTTTTTTCGCGCCGCAAAAGCAATGATATATGAAATTAGATCATATCTGCAATGAAGACAGCAAAGGAACGTGGTTTGTGAGGCGTGTGATGAATGCGACCGCTAAGTTCATCGACGACCGGCACCGAATGGTACGAAGCGAATTCACGTGTAGCGCGCGAGCGCATCAAATGTGCGCCCTGTCGAACTTGTCAGAAACAACGAGCGAAACAAAGGAACAGCACATAAATCAGCCAACATGAAAATCTAAACTATTGCAATTTCGGGCATTGAAATCATTTCGGTTTGCCAGAACAAAATAATCAATCGTTAATACCGTGAAACCATAATAAGCGCAATTTACAGTAGTTTCTTTTCATCAACGGCATTCGTGTTAACCATGAACTGCCAATATCTTCGGCAGTGCAAAGATAAATCGACAGTTTTGAGTCTGGTTTTGGCTAGCGTCGGCACATATACCCCAAATAAAATACCTAATCGACAAATTGAAAATTTGCTAACTGCAAAATTCGTAGAATCTATTCTCGCTACTTTGCTCGACACCTTATTTTCAAACAAACATGAACCATTTAAACTTGATCTTGCGCCGTTCTTTTATTTGATAGTTCGAGGTTCTTTAATCGATTTTTTTTTTCAACATTTGATCAAATTCGAAAATTATTCGGATTTCATTTAAGGATAGAGAAAATGATTTTGATACCGCATTTTTTTAAAACTCCCATTTGGAATAAATAGAACTTTTCGAGTGCTACGAATGCGGAAAAATTGAACTCTTTTCATTAGTGATGAAAAACTTTTCACTTCTTTCGATTGCGTGCTTTCGCACGGCACAAATCGACATTTCGCAGAAAAAGTAGGCAAAAGTAATTTGAAGTTGGGGGAAAATTGACACTTACATAAAAGAAAATATAAAAGTTTTACTGATTTCTTTGCGGCGTTTTCTTTTTCTACTTTGCAGGTGGCTTCGATGGAACATCGAATGTTCTTGCTGGAAAAATGTTTGGTATTCCGGTTAAGGGAACACATGCTCATGCTTACATCACTTCCTTCTCTGGCATTGACGAACTGAAGACAGTTAATCTGAGACACAAATCGACAGGTAAATCACTTGGAAATTCTAAATAAGCGTCGCGACGAAATTTCAATGAGCAAACTACACATTTTATTATCCTTTCCACAATTTTGCTCTTTCTGCCGTTTTCGTCTTGCAAATCAAGAATTTTCAAACGGAATATACCTCGTGGCCACTATTTTTTTTTTTCACATGGCCAATAGTTTGGATGGCACCGCTTTAGAATACAATTTTATTTGGATTCTTAACTCTCTCAAAGATCTAAAAAAAACTAAAAGAAACAAAAACACTTGGAAGAACAATTGAAATAATTCCTTGTCTTCACTCAGGTATCAATAAGGATCTGCTCAGCTTGGCTGTTGAATACCGGAAGCAATTGTCGGGTCTACTGGGAGTGTCTACAGATGAGTCAAGCGATGGTGAGCTGGCTGCAATGGTTTCATTCGCAATCGCATTTCCCGATGGATTTATGGCGTTAGTTGATACGTACGATGTCAAGAGGTATTTCCTTTTGTGTAGCCAATTGCACACTGCTTTATCCCTAAGTTTGTTCATTCATTTGTGATAATACATTCGTACTGACTATTAACCTAATTGTTGTTGCTGTTGGTAATTGCTTTTAGACTTGGTTTGTATATACGTAACTAATATATATCGAAGACCAAGCGGCAAGTGTATTGTACTGGTTTGCGTGAGCTGTTTTGTTTGTGTGTGTGTGTGTCATGAAACCGCCTGTGTTCAAAATTAGTTGCAAATATGACTAACCATCGAATATTAACTGACCATTAAAAATGTTGTCATGTATCCAATCGATCATCCTCCAATAATTCTACCTGATTAAATTGCAGCAAAGAGAAGGATAAATTAAATCTCAAAAAGAACCACACCAAATCGAATAAAACCAATAATATTTTGCCTGATCCAAAGGAGAAAGCAAATAAGGTACACATCAAATTGAAATCGCACAAGGTCATTGCCAATGGTGCCAAAGAGAATAATCTCAACAATCGCATTTTAAATCCAATTCAAAATCATGTGAATCACATCGCCTCCAATTCAGTGAATGGAACGGTTGACAAAGCCAAAACGAAACAGGCAATTGAACAAAATGGCAATAAAATCAACGGTCATTCCGTTCACGACGATCGCACGATTGTTGAAAAACTTACAGAATTACGCAAATTGTTCAGGTAAATAATTTTTCAAAACTTTGTTTCTTTTTGCATAAATCGGGGTCATATATTGAAAAGATTAATTACTTTTCCCATGATGGAAATAATGGCATGCGCTCACAGGATATGAACAAACGTTTTGATTCTTTGGATAAATATTTCTGTTCTTTGGACAAAAATTATGGCAACAAAATTCCAAATTAACTTGGTCAAATAAAATTTCTTTGAACAGCTTGGGATTGCGCGAAAACTAAGCCGAGAATTTTGAATCACTCGATGTGTTACGGATTAATTGTGTCTGTTTGTACTGGTGATTGCTAAATTTCGAACCCATTTATCATCTTCCATACAATCAAAAGAGAATTTCAGAACAAAAATGCCAACTACTTGCATGGGCGTACAACTCGTTGACACACACACTCACTACATTCACGTGTTTCGTACAAATATTACGGTTGCACCCACCAAATTCCATTCTTTTACATTTTCGATTCCACATGTTTTTTTTTTGGTTTGTGTGTTATTAGTCCCTATTTTCGATATATTTCGTTTTTGCAATAATCGATGTTATTATTATGAAATGACACGCTTTAATCTTTGAATTTTGAATTAATGTTATACGATATCTCATTGAATGTATATAATATAGCTTAGAATGCTAAAATAGAAGAATTGACACGCATAAAGCAAGTATTGAACTTATTAGTTCATTTTCTATATCTAATATGGAAAAAAAAAACTCTGATAGAAAAAAAAAACAATAAAAAAAATTGCGAGAAAAAGTGACACAGCTCAGCATTCAGTGGAAAGGCCGCTTTTGGCATTTTCGTCGTTACTGTAAACAAATGAAGATTGGGTGTCTTCGGCGTTATTGAAGAACATTAAAAGAACTTTGAATATTTCGGCACCTAATCGCTATCTCTTTCCAGTACCGAGAAAAATGTAAAAAAAACCTTTTTCCGCTCAATGCTGAGTTGTGTCACTTTTGCTCGCAATTTTATTTGTTTGTTGTTTTCTTCAATGGGACCATTATGTGCTATTTTAACAATGTATTTCTTTTTTATCAGAGTTTCATCCGTCTCAGTTATTGAATCAGTTTTCTCTTGCTTTTACCGTGTCAATTGGTTGTATTAGGTGTACAATATTAGTAGACGTTGATTATTCATTAATAACAGCTAAATAATATAACCATTGAGTTGTACTAAAACTAGACTGTAAATGCTAATAAAAAAGAAAATTGTCAATGATTCAATCGCTTAAAATGTAGAAATTAACAACATCACCCAATTCTATTCATTCAAAAAAAAAAATCAGACGAAAAAATCATTCAAATTTGCAATTTTTCTGTTTCTTCCTTCCATTCAGATCGGGCTTATTGAATTTCTGTGCGGTTGCAATGGCATTGAACGATCAAGGATATCGTGCGGTTGGAATTCGAATCGATTCCGGAGATTTGGCGTATTTATCTTGTTTAGCACGTGAAACATTCGATACGGTGGCAAATAAATTTAAAATTCCATGGTTTAAAACGCTAACAATTGTGGCGTCAAACGATATCAACGAAGAAACCATTCTAAGTTTGAACGAACAAGGACACAAAATCGATTGCTTTGGCATTGGAACGCATTTGGGTAAATTTTCCATTCGCCTAACGAATTCGATTCAAAATTTCAATTTCCATATTTTACAGTCATTGAATTTCAATGATGGTGAATGCATTAGAATGTTTCTATACTTAATTCGAACTGGATGGATCCTCGTGGAGAGAATGAAATTGAGATTTTTTTTTTTCGTTTTTAAAAAATATTTCAAAGAAAAAGAAATCTTCATTATGGTTTTTAACAATATTTTTCATAACTTCTATTGATTACAGTAACGTGTCAGCGTCAGCCAGCTTTGGGTTGTGTTTACAAATTGGTCGAGATCAATGGTCAGGCTCGAATCAAATTGAGCCAAGATGTGGAAAAGGTGACGATGCCTGGAAATAAGAATGTATATCGTTTGTTCAGTGCTGATGGGCATGCATTGATTGATTTAATGCAGAAGAACAATGAGCCAGCGCCGGAAGTTGGCCAAAAAGTACTTTGTAGGCATCCATTCCAAGAGTCAAAACGGGCCTATGTCATTCCATCGATCGTTGAACCGATGTACAAGGTATTTATAATGAAATTTGGGGAAAAAAGAGTTCACAATCGAATAAAACTTCAGAACACTGAATGATTAAACACCAATTTGTTTTTCTGTAGATTTATTGGCAAAATGGAGTCATTTGTCAAGCGCTGCCGACCCTGGAAGAGGTGCGCGAAAAGGTTCAATCATCACTGCGATCACTTCGCAACGATCACAAACGTACGCTCAATCCAACACCGTACAAAGTGTCGGTGAGTGACGGACTGTACAGCTTCATTCATACTTTGTGGCTGGAGAATGCACCGATTGGCGAGTTATCATGATCATTAAATCATTTTGACCGTTTTCAATTGTCCTATGCTTGCGAAAATCAGCTAATGTGCCATAGTTAAATGTGATCCAGAGCTTTGTGAAAATGGTCAGATGTATCGTACATCAAACAATGAGCACACACACACAAATTAGAAAAAATACCCAAACAAACACACATCACCACCAGTCTACTTTGAGAGCGAATACCATTGAGATGGCAATTGTCAGTCGTATTTTCATTCCGTTGTGATTCATCAATTTAGTATGGAAATGTAGCGGAATAAAATTAGCATATGGATTAAATACAGCTTAAAACACAAACAAACGAATTAAATATGAATCGAGAACTGAGTTCTCGCAAATATTAGCTTTGAACTTTTATGATGGCACAATCGCTATGTTCAACTATAATAATCATTTGTTGCTTGTTAACCAAACACGTTTTTTTATCGTCATACTAAGTTGATGAGCGTTTGCTTAACGTTTTTTTTTCTTTTCTTTTTTATACTAATTTCTCCTATCCTCTATGTGTTACGCATTTTTCTTTGTAGTAACTTATGCCTAAGAGTAATCACTCGATAAAAAGAGTGCAAGGTGTATTCAATACAAACATTCAGTCATTTCCAACAAAGACACCACCGTAGATTAGTTAACCTTTTTTTAGCAAAGCATCAAATATATAGTAACGTACTTGTTTTTAATGCAAAAAAAAATTTTTCGTATCCATGAAAACCAAACAAAAAAAACTGTAGAGCTAAAATAAGAAAATAAATGTAATCTTATTACTTCTCTAGATTTCACCTGGTAATTATTTTATCGTAATCGTATATTCGAGTCACACGGGTTGATTGAGTTAAACAAATGTGAATTGATTTTATCGTAAATCCTCAAGATTTGATTGTTGATAGAGAAACAAAAACAAGCCCATATAACTTCTATGATTCATTCACAATTTGTTTTGAAGAACTTTGTTCATACACTAATTGGCTAATTGTAATAAAACTTCGTGAATTATTCGAAAATTGATTCAATCGATTTTGCTAAGTTCAATTAAAAAAAACAGCCTAATCGTTTCAATAATTAAGATGTGTTTGCAATTATCATAAAAAAGAAATATTACTTCACATTCAATAGATATTTTGAAAACAAAGCGGTAATTCTGACCAACTTGTTACTTATCCATTTTCTGTGAAAGAAAAACACCATATACTTGGTTTCAGGAAAGAAAATTATAAACAATTTTATTTATGATATAAATGTTCAATAATAAATGTAAAAATAGACATGAAAAATGGTTCGTTTTAGTAAAAAAAAAAACCATAACATTTATTCGAATTACCGTTATGTTGGGCTTGATTTTGTAGCCCTACCACGGTATGCTTTAATGTGTATTGTGAACGAGCCACATTTGACAGATCATTTGACAGATGGCCGAAAGTGTTCATTCTAATAAGACTGTCAACAACGGAATAAGAGAGACAAGAGAGAGAGAGAGAGAGAGAGAGAGAGAGAGACCGTATGTTTGCATGAGAGTATGAGCAACGACGACACAAACAAATAAATAGCTTGTTTTGAAGAGAGACTCAGTTCAGTCGGCATTTGTGTATCATTTGGAATAGTCGATATTTTGGATCGCGCGCATCATCTATACCCTAATAAAAAGCAAAAAAGAATAAAAGCCATTTTCCCAATTGAATTCATTGTTATTCGAAAAGTGAGTGTTAGAAGGTGATAATTGCATCTCTATTCTAAATGAAATAGTCTCAGTTGAATGATTTAATTTTCTAAAGATAGAAAGAGAAAAAAATAGCATCTAAGGTGGTTTAGGTGTTGCTTGTGACTTTTTGTAACTAACGGTAATTGATTTGTTTCCACTCGTGCAGACGGGGCCCAAACTTGTTAATTATTTGGAATATCGAACGAGCGAGATTGTGAGTTGGACGACGACAACAAATAAAAAGAGGTAAAAATAACATAATCAATTGTAGATTAATATAGATAGAAAAGATTACACAGTAGCTATGTATTGTTGGTAGTGGCGTAATGAGTTAAGAGTTCAGCATGGGGCTGGATTCATTATTTATTGATCTTAAAACCACTAACAATTCAATTGAGAAATATGAGATTAAAATGACATTATGTAGTTTTTTTTTTCTGGAATGATTGACTCATGCAATACCTAGAGTGAGTGTCATTTGGCACGGGGCACATCAAAAAAGAATACAATTACATCACGAACAAATAAATACGCGGATAAGCCCAGAGATGGAAGAAATGAACAAAAATGAGTCGTCAATTAGCATGTTGTAAATAATATTTTGTCGCTTTTATTGTTTCTAGCAAATTGGCTTACAGAGATAATACACAACAAACGCCAAAAACTATTTCAGTTCTCTAAGTTCAAAATCAACGACTGCCAACAACAAACAAAGAAATAAAACATTTTTCGAAGAAGATAGAGCAAAAAAAGGGAAGAAGAAGAAGAATTCCAATGTGAAGCGCTTGAACTGAACAGTGAACACTCTAGAATCAACGACATACAACAACAATTGAAGACTTGTTTTCATTTTTATATAGGGCTTTCTTTGTACAATTTCGTTGCGCTGTGTGAAAAGTATTTCGACATTTCATTTGTTCTTTTTCTTCTATGTCTTGTTGTGTGTGTGTGTGTTTTTCATCGCGTTCGCACTGGTTGCCAGCAGATCACGAACTTACACGCACATCCACGCATCGAAAAATCAAATAACGCAATTCTAATGGTGTGCTGTGATCCATTGTTGTGTCAAGCGAGAGAACAAAGTGAAGCGCACGATGGAACGCTTTAAATTACATTTTGGTGTTTCCACTAACACAAACTATTACGCATGAAAATTATTTTCTGCTTCTTCTTCTTCTTCTGCCGTTTTTTTTTCTGCTCAAACCAAATTAAGTGCCTGAAGATTTCCAAATAAAGAACCCATCAAACACACGACGATCTAACGCGCTGTATTGTGCATTCTTCTTCGCATTTTCCCTACTCTCTCATTCTCTCTCTCTCTCTCTCTCTCTCTCTCTCTCTCTCTCTCACTCTCTCGGCGTTTCTGTTGCGCATTTTTCATTGAAATGAAATATTCCTATGTACTCGTTTTACCGAATGTATCGAATTACTTGGCTTGGCTGTACATCATCAAATCGGTATGATTCAAATTACTCATAGCTCTCGCATTGTCTATGTGCACAAAAACAATGGAAGCGTTTCCCGAATGCGATGTGAATAATTTCAATGGCAGAGCGTCGACGGAACAGTGTGTTTTCCTCTCTCTCTCTCTGGGTGTTTGTGTTTCGAAAACAACAAAACACAGGTGAAAGCGATTGTTTATGTTGTTTTTTCCGCTAGTGTTATTTATATTTTCATCTAATTTGGTTGGCTTTCTTAAGAATCATACAAGGACCGCGCATTCATGGCACGTACATAGACACGCAAATGTACCGGCATCGGAAACACACAGAGAGTAACAGAAAAAAAGAACATCCATTGATTTTATTTAAATGAGCTAAAATGATCTCAGCGAATCGATTTCCATATTTCGCATTGCACGATGGTTTGCTATTTGTCTTGGTGTACATTTCACACTTTAGTTTCAAGCGTTGACTATAAATTACATTCAATGATATAAATGGAAAGAAAAAGTGATTTTCGCTGAAATTGTCTAGAAAAGTTGCTAATGACGAAAAGCGGCGTCAACAAGTAAGCAATCTCAACTTCTGTTGGATTCTAGCAAAAATGGCGCATGCATCTTCAATCGCACTGATACCACCGACCAGCGGGGTCAAAGGAGTATTTTGTTTTTCAGCTTATTTATGTCGCGAAATGACTAAGCCCAGCCTTAAAAACATCGTCTGACAAAATGCCTCAGTCCATGAGTTATTTACTTCGTTCACGGCAACCGCGCTAAAAATGTTTGTTTATTCGTTGTTTTCTGTTGTGTTTCTTTATTTTATTTGCCATTTTACTGCGATACCAGGCGCACTTCCAGCGGTCACTGATAAGGCTACAAAATGAACGTCGTTGATTATGACAATTTGATACGAATGGAACAACAATATCTTCTTTTTTTTACTAGGAAATCTGTTGTATTCATTTCGCGGGATTGGGCTGTTTTTATTTCTTTTTATCAGCTGATTCATCGCCGAATTTCGGGAAGAGTTCGATACGAAAACTGCACACAGACCGAAAAAACACACACTGCGAATGAAAGTAGTTCAGAGAAAAAGAATTTTTTCAAACGTCGTCCAATGAAAAGAAACATTTCTTTTTGTCAGTGAGTTGCGTTCGATTGAAACCAACCGCAAACCGTTTATTGCGTCTAAATTTACCACATAATACGAGGGAAAAAACTAGAAACAAAACGAATTCTTTGGAATCAGATCGACCATAACGCCCGCTGTCGCCGCTTCGTGTATTCGTATTGATTTCCATGTCACCATTTAACGAGCGACCGATGATTGAACGACATACATTCCTTTTCGTGTGTACAGTGTACCTGTATCGCAACTATGTTTCCCATTGTCGTTATGATTATCGTAATAATACGAGGTTTTGTTTATTTTTCGATCATTAAAACGACTCGCATTTTGCACAACTGTGCGCCTGGAAGTTGTTGTCATGTAATTTGTCTCTCTCTCTCTCTCTCTCTCTTTCTCTCTCTCTCTCTCTCTCTCTCTCTCTCTCTCTCTCTCTCTTTCGTTCTTTCTGCCGGAATAATTTTTGTATGCATGCTTGATGGTTGTGTGCGCTTGAGTCAGTTATAAATTGATTTTTGAATCGATTTACATTAAGAAGAACGTACTGTGGGTTCTATTTTTTGTCCAGCCAACCAGGTGGATTTTTTGTGAGAGGTTTTTTCGTTGTTTTATTTCTGTTACAAAACAATACACCACGTGCAATGTATGAACAAACGGGCATACGGGGCAAGCTAAAGTGAAATGTCGCGCACACATGTGATAATGATCGGATGGCCAACACAATAGTAAATACGAAGTGAACGAGTTCGAGTGAAAGAGAAAGGGAGAGAGACATAATGTGTGTTAGAGAGAGAGTTTGAGCGATAATTTATTTCTGGTACTGTGGCAAATCAACAAAAGCGCGCGCTATAAAACTGAACACTCCCCAAACAATGTATTGTTCCAAATGTAAATTCTTTCGTTTATGTTACGCTCTTACCGCTGGGGACAGTATTTTTTTTGTCACTGTATAAACAATACCAGAACAGAAAGAGAGAGAGAGAGAGAGAGAGAGAGAAAATACAAAGCGACCGTTCGGCAATTAGATTGCGAGGGGAAAAATTGTTGAACATAAACAAAAGCGGATACCACGGTAGCAGTAACCTCTTATTATAATAATTTTCCATAAACATATTCAGTCGTCAGCACGCGATTTTTTTTGTGAAACCATTTGCCATTTTCTATCAAAGAGTGGAAAAAATTCATCGACGATAACGACAAAGCAAGTGATCGCCGTATGCGTTTGATTTGTCGTGGCCAATAGGCTGAAATCCAACTTCAAGAATAAAACTTGTGTTATGAACTAAAATTATATTTGTACCCTTATTGGGTATTTCACATACATGTTTTGCTGCTTTTTGGTGGCTGTTTCAAAGGCGCCGTTTTATTAGGCCGGTTCAATATCCTTAAAAACGCACTTATTGTGTCGAACATTGATGGAACACGTATATTAATTATTTATTGAAAGCACTTTCCGTGGTGGACGAGCAAACGTAAACATATTTATTGTTGTTCGGAAGTACTTCAATCAGCGTGCTATGTGTAGCAACCGTACATGCACACAAATACGCACGTGCACGCTGCTGTGTATACAATACATTCCACGAACCCAATATGGATGAATTGTGCCCGATGAAACTTACATTAAAACGCTTTTAGTTGGATTTTCCAATTAAATCCATACTGTGAATTAAACTAGAAAAAAAGCCGTTGTTCAAAAAGGAGTTATTGTCCCGATGAGCTCAATGACTACGTGTCCCAGTTCGGCGCTAAAAAATCCCATTTCGATTGAACCAGCCAAAGTGGCTATTATCTGACAGCGGTGAACCCATTCGAAATGCTATTCCCTTTTTTACATGCACTTTTTCGCTTATCGATTCAATTTTAGTTGATAAATTTTTAAAATCTGATCGCTCTAGATGTTCAAATAGCTGGATAGATGTAATTTTGCCCGCTATTCGGCATAAAACTCGTCTATGCTACATTTATAATTTAAACACACGATTTTCGCATAAATTGTCGAGCACAACCATTTTATGGCCCATTGACTGTGGTCGAAATGAATTTCCGTTGAAACGTTCATCGGGATAGTGAATCAAGTGCTACAAATCCTTTGCTCGTGATAGTAATTCTTCATGACAAGAAAATGCTCCAATTTATTCACTTGATTTGTATTGAATTTTCACATTCACGACATCGAGTCAACGTGTCGTCAACTTCGAGCGGCGTTGAGTGGAAACGAAATGCAAAAATAAACAATTAATCAATTTAGTTTGAGGTTAATCGGTTGACCTATCTTAATTTCTTTACATTGGTCAATGCCCATTTCAGCACCATGATGTTCATGCAAAACCAATGATATCCCCTGGTACAGAGGCACAACGATACATTTTCAATTGCAACGTCGGATTCAATCAATGTATGATTTGAGCACAGAGTGCGACCACTTTGTGTGCACATAAATATACAATTAAAATGTCACGCAATGAACACACACACACACACACTCATCAGATCTACCACAATGGAGACTGAAACTGCCGGGTCAACAAGAACCATGTAGTATCTATCTACAGTCTATTTTTGTGCTTGAAATCACAAACGCATTCATAATAATTTTATATACGCTCATGATCCAAATATTTATGACACTTTAATCTCTTTTAAATAATTGACGCTGTACTGTTTTACTGCGAAGATCAGTGTAGAAAATATAACCATAAAATGAAATATATTGCTGATACAGATATCATGTGCTATCATGCAAATGCTCTTTCTGTAGTCTAATTTGTGGAAAAAACCTCAATTTATTTGAACTGACTTCGACTGCGATTTCAAGAGTCATCAATTTATATGTCTTCGTTTTTTGTTTTGTTTCAGATAAGCAAAATGGTTGATTGTGGTGTGACTTGTGCTAAATATTCAGTTTTCTTTTTCAACCTCCTCTTTGCCGTAAGTTTCTTCTGTAGTTTATTTTTTTACATGAAAAAACGAAGCAAAATAAGAAGATGAATCATTTTTCTATTAACAATTTTTCGTGTAAATTTGATTTATTCAACCATTAACAGTTGACAGGCATAGCAATACTTACGGTTGGAACTGTGATTTTCACCGCATTCAATCATTATCAAAACTTTTTGGGTAAGCGAAATGATTCACTCTAAATTCACTTGACACCACTGAAATATTAATCGTTCAACAAATTGGAAATGTAGGCGAAGGACTATGGTCTACTCCGATTGTGTTGATGGCGATCGGCGCCATCGTATTCATCATCGCATTCCTGGGCTGTTGCGGTGCCATTAAAGAATCTAGCTGCATGGTGCTCACGGTAAGAGTTTTTTTTATGATAAAAACATATCAATTTTCTCACAGCAAGTGCTCGTTGTGGATCAATTCGGACTAAAATTTGATTACAAACCAAACTATGATTTCCGCTTAATCAATCGATTTATCGCTTTCTCAGAAGAATAATTTTCTCTAATAAGTTGGGCAAATTGTAAGTTAGGACACGGAAATGGATTTTCTAAATGTTTTTTTTCTTGTTCATGTTTGTACATTGCAGTTCTCATTGCTGTTAATCGTGATCATCGCATTCGAAATCGGAATTGGCGCTTTCGGCTATGTTCGACAAGATGACTTGAATGCCGCTTTGGACAAAGGATTCAATCAAACACTCAAGGATTACAAAACCAACGAAAAAGCATGGGATTTGGTGCAAACCGAGGTATGAATTATTCATCAGTTTCTTCTTTTTGTGCATTCAAAATTAAAACAATTTTACAAAATGTTCAAGTTAATTTATGAAACTATCATTGGTGTTGTATTGGATTTGTTAAGATTACACAATCTACGACAAATTTCATCGATTTTGAAATTATGATCTCGTTTAAACATCAAACTGGCTGACTCACTTTTTTTATAGATGAAATGCTGTGGCATAAACACCCCAGATGACTTCATTCCAGTTCTCAACAGTACCGACTTACCAAGATCATGCTGTTTGAGTTTGGCTAAGGATAAACCATGTACCAAGACCGATGCATCGAAAACTGGCTGCAAACCGGCGCTGCTGAAATATTTGAGCTCCCAATCGACTATTTTGGCTGGTGTTGCTGTTGCTGTTGGTTTAATTCAGGTGAGGATACATTTCCTATTGAATGATTCGATATTTCGTGTTTTTTTTTTAAATCTAATATTCACAATTAATTTCCATTTACAGATTGTTGGCCTGGGATATGCATGCTGCTTGTATCGTGCATTCCGTAAGAACTACGAAGCCGTCTAAATAACAAATACTAAATCGAATCAAAGAAGACTAAATTGAAACTGGTTCAGGATCAGCTGAAAAACTGTAACCGACGCAGAAACAAAACAAAAACAACAAACAAAAAGAAAAGAAAAATGAAACAACACTAAAGATCATGGCGTATTTTAAACATATATCAAAATCGATCATATTTTTCGATCGTTAGTTTTATTTAAGGCTTTCATTGAACTATATTTATATATTATATATACGAGGCATAACATCTATATTCGTTGAACTTTAACATTTTCATAGAAAAACAAAAACACTCGCCGGAAGAAGAGACTATTCCTTCTGTTTTTTTTTTTTTTTTTGAAACAATAAATCAATTTAGCGTTCGTTCGAAATGAACAAATCTTTTTGAAAAATCTACATATTTTTGAAGATTATATTTTGGATTTTGATGAAATCATATTTTTCGATCGAAAATGATGAATTTGTTTGTTGTTCATTTCAAATATATCAACTATTATTTTTCTCTCTGTGTGTGGGCGAAATATCGCCACCAACGAAAAACGGAATCAACCATCGAATTGAAGAAACAAAATAAACTCTTAGATTTATATATTTATTTCTTTAAATAAATTTTATAGTATATCGATCTATGTGTTACATTGATGTTTTTAGAACCGATGAAAAACAAAAATTCATCTAATTTTATCAATGGAATTCTCAACATGAACACAAACAATTATTCTAAAGCGAAAAAAATAACTATTTTAGCCGATATTATTGGATGTTAAGAATGATTCACATAGGAATTAAGAATGAAAACATTTTCATATATCGTGTAGCGAAGCACTATCGGCTTAAGAACGTAAACAAACTGAACGGTTTATATGGTTATCACACACAGACAAATAATATCAACAACTCTTGATAAATGTTAATTGGTCCAAACATTATTGATTAGCATTTGAAAAGCCTAGAATGAGCCTTAAATTTTTTTTTCTCCCGAAAATTAACACATTTTTTGCAAAACCAAATTTTTATCGTGCGTATCTCATTTCAATGTTCATGTAACATATATATATATATATATATCAATGTGATGTACACTTTTGTGTATGCCCCCCGCCCCACAAACATACATTTCACCGTGGACATGATCCGCATGTTCCATTTCAGTGAAATCACTATTTGATAAACGTTTAAGTTCAATAAAAATAAAGATTTGTGTAAAACAAAAATTTGAAACGAGTTTTTTTTCTTGTTTTCTTTTTTACACTTTTTCGCATTATTCTCATCTTTTTTCCACGTATTTGATAGTATCGGAAACAGTGACTGTATGTCATAGCTCATAGATGTCTCTTAGATAGAGACATTGTCTCTTTTTCCGCAAATCGGCCGTGTGTGCTTCTTATCTCCAAGTCTATATGCCTATGTGTTGGTATAAACAACAAGCGAATATGATGCCTATGAACTGTAAGAGAACGAATCGAGAATTCAGTCCAAATTGAAAGTATTGTAACCACGAAACTTAAACTAGAAAAAAAAAATTAAAAATTTAAGAACGACGAAGTTTACTTGGATCAACCAGATGATAACGGCAATGAGAGTAAAAATGGTGTAAATGTTGCGCAAATACTCAAGTAACACCGTTTGACAACCGGTTTTGGATGCATTTTCTTTTCTACATGTTTCATTTTGTGCCTTCTGGCAACATGATGGTGGCACAAGTTCATCTCCTGTTATGGATTGCCAGTCAGTGGCACTATTGATGCCACAACATTTGAACTGTAACAATTTTACAAGTAAAATATTAGTTCGTATCACACACTCTGGTTTGTTAGTGAAGAAATATTTTGATTTGTCAATTATTACGAAATAGTTTGGTTTCATACTTCAGTCTGTAAGAAATGCCAAGACGCCTGATAATTCTGATTTTCGTTATATTCATTGAGCATTCTTTCGAGAGAATCCTGCACAGTCACCTCTAAGCCATCTTTCTTGATACTGGCAGCGATCAAAAGTCCCACTTCCACCATGAACATTATAGCCAACACAATCGAAAACTGGAAATAAAATATTGATATTTCACTTTTTTTCCCAAAAAATACGCTAATTTTTTGTAACAAACGTCATCTTTACTCACAGCCAATAAAAAAATGGAGTTTTCAGTACATGCACCACAACAACCGAGGAACGCAGTTACAAATATGATGCATCCGATGACAATCAGGCCAATTGGAAATGCTGACACATGCTCCGCTGTAAATTGATCAATATAAAAATTAATCATCATTTAAAAACCAAATGCTTGTGCAAACTTACGAATTATTTCCACGTAGAAATCCACGTTGTAGTAAATGAGCACCCCAACGATGGTCAATCCCAGGCCAAATAACTGTGGAATTAAAGGAATATGCATCAAATTAATTGAGCTTTGTTAAATTATCACAAATGAGATTGGAAAGTGAATACACTTACAAAAAATAGAAAGTTGACGACGAACAGGGAATTTTTGATACATTTCAATCCGAACATGATGCCAATTTTCACGATTTTTTTTGCCTCTTCGGTGGTCGGTTACTTATATAAATAAAAGATTCAAGAGAGAGTTACTTGATTATCGAGAGAGAATGTGTTTTGACATTGAGTTTAACTAGTGACAGCAATACAATGGTCGACTATGTTTTCCAAAAATGAAGGATTGACATTTTGTGGATAACTAGATGAAAACAGCATTTATTTCGTAAATGAGTGAATTTATTGTTGTGATTTTTTTTTTTTTTTGATCAAACTATAAACATTGGAATAATGACACGAACAATATTGAAATAAAATGGATTGGACCAGCTTTCCTTGCCAATGGATTGGACTTTAACTGATTGGACCAGTCATCTACTACCTTCTAGATATTCATAAGCATTCTTCCCGTCTTGCTCTGGCAACGTTAACGATGCTGGAATTCGGAATACAAGCAACAAGTGAGCAGAGTACATGTTAACTGCAAAGAGAAAATTGCTTGGGATGAAAACAAAAAAAGCTTAACGTTCATTTGACATTTCATACTTGGAAGAAACTGACGGCAACGCCCACAAGAATAAATATTAAAAAATGTTCCTCTAAGAAATTGATCAGTAAATGTTTGCAACCATGTTTGAATGCAACTTTCTCGGTGCATTCGAGTCCTTCTTTTAGATTTTCACAGCATGAATCTGGTAAAACATTAGTTACGTTTATCCAGTCTTGTGGGCCATTTCTGCCACAACATTTGAACTATAAATCCATTTCGAATTATTTACTCTTCACAATGAGGCCGATTCCAAATTTCTAACATTCGAATGATACTTACTTTATCTTGGATAAAATCCCATGCCAATTTGGATGGCTCAGATGTGTTGCTTTCGTGGAGAGTTTTATTCATACTCGTAGAAACAAAACGATTAAGCCTATCTCTATTCTCACTGGCCGCGATTATGGTTCCCAATTCGAACATTACACACATAACAACCAAAATTGAATACTGAAAAAGTTGGATTTCAGCACAAAAAAGATACTTTTGTCATGGATTACACTTACAATCAATAGCATACATGCATTTTCGCTTATGGCCCCATAACATCCCAGAAATGAAATTACGAAAACGATAACGCCAAGTACTATCAGAATAATTGTCAATCCCGATACCTCCTCCGCTGCAATTCAAAGATTGCTTTTAGTGATAGGATTAGATTCAAATATTCCAATACTTACGAATGAACTTCGTATAATTAATCAATCCATGGTAAATAATTCCACCAATTGTGGCCAATGCAATGCCCGTCATCTATGAAGGAAAATTATACATTGGAATCATATACGCAGATGGTATGCAAAAAATTCAGAATGTATAAAGTCTTACAGCAAACAACACGTTGAAAATGTACAAAGAATATTTCACACAAAACACACCAAACATTTTTTTTTCCAATATTTTGTTTGATTCAAGTTTGGTTTTTCCTTCGTTTAAGATTATATTTTGTTGTAGTGGATATACTTTGAGATTTTCTTGGTTTGCAGAAAATACTTGGTTTGACGTGATTTTTTGACACAAATCTAACGGCCATCTATAGTTTTTGATTTGAAATATATTATCTATAGCACCTCGATGTTCGATGTACCTGTGTTTTAAAAACAAACATGGACACACACATACCATAAGAACAATGATAAATGTTTTAGTATCCTTCACCATCGATACAGGGCAACCACGTATTCCATCTCTCTTCCGGTGACAGAATGGCCAAAATAATTGATTTGTTTGTTGCATGCATGTATTGTATAGTATCCAGATTTATATACTATTCAGTCAACAACCAAAACTTTCGACTCACATTTGGCTTGTGAAAGAAAATCGCTCAAAATGAAGTAGGGTGATCGAATGTTATTACATTACCCCATAGATAACTTTAACATGTTTTAAAAGCGTCTCATCGAATTGATAATAACAAAATTTTTGAGAAATTTTAGTGATAAATGAAACATTTCTTCTCTAACTGTCCTATTGCGCAAAAAATACATGATTAAAACTCAATGATTGCCTGAAATTTCTTTTTCGAACCTTTATCCATGTGAGTGTGTGATAGCTGATAGAGACTCTGAGAGTGGGTCTCATAACAACAACTTGGAAAAACTTTAGATGACTATAAGTAAGGTGGTTAGATGCTTCTGAGCAAAAACGCGGACAAATCTTCGGGAAAACGATAAAAAACGAGGACATTTATATAATGAGATTTTGTAACTAAAAATGTATTTTGCGTAAAAATTAACGTGTTAAATTTAGTAAGTATACGTCGTTTTTCTAAATTTTTTTTATTCTATCGTAAACCATCCAAATTGTAACATAGTCTTAAAATAAACCAATTTTCTGAAAAAATACAAATAAGTCATATATTCATATCGGAAGTTTTTTTTCATGATCTTCTCAAATATGATATAAAAAACAACAGTTACCCTTCAAAGTTTTGCAGAAAATTAGTCTATTTGTTCAATTGTTACAATTTGGATGGTTTACGATATATACATTCAAACGTCATTATATTGATACAGACATTTTTCTTGACTGTCAAATGTCACATTCTTAAAATGAGTCAACCAAAGATTTGAATAAGAAATTTTTTGAACTATCGGAAATTTTCAGGGCTACCGTTCTAAATATTGGGAATAATGTGTGTCATATGTTACTAGAATATTTTATAACATCATTTAAATCATACATCCAAACGATGATCGTTTGGAGAAGAAAACAAGTGAACAAAACCGCTATATTTTGTATATGCAATATGAAAATTGAGCAAATCGTATAAGAAAAATTCAAAAAACAACTACCGAAATTCAGATTCAAACTTTATCATTTTCATGCAATAAGTTCGGCACAATCTCTAGATATTTTTCAAATATTTTATTTTATTGTGTAAATAATTGATTGTGTAATTTAACAGAAACCAGTGATCTTGAAAAAAATTTCCAATTGGTCATAATTTGAGATCCTGGTATGGTGAATGATGTGTTTCAGCTTCTGTTTGTTTAATAGTGAACATCTCTTCGGTAAGCCGAATACAAGCAACAGGAGAACACAATGGCGAATAACTATGAAAAAAAAAATGAAATTTTAATGACGAATGAATGGCGAAAGAGTTTCAAAACAAAACGACGATTTCAGTTGGTTCTCTTTACAAAAACAAATGACTCATGTATTGAACAAACATATTTTTCGTCCGTACACATAATACATACCTGTATTACTGCTACTCCAATGCCAACGCCAGCGACTGTGACCAAGTTGGATTTCAAATAATCAAGGAATTTGGCTTTGCAGCCATCTTTTTGCACCGATGCATCACCCTTACTGCATTGAGCGCCTTTTTCTCTCAGGCAACACGAAGCTGGAAGCGAATTTTGTCCTGGCAAAATGCCATCCCAATCTTCTGGTCCTTTGATACCACAGCATTTCAACTAAGAATAAAAAATATACAATCACAGTTGATATGATTCAAAAATGATTATTTCTTTTGCGAAAATACCTCAGTTTGTAGCAAATGCCAGGAAGCAGCGAAAGTATCGATTTCATTGACTTTATGCAATGTGTAATTAAGTTTTTTGTCAACAATATTCTCTACATCGTTTCGCTTTACATACGCAGCTACAATAATACCGACTTCAAATGCAACAATCAAAATCACGATGATTGAGTACTGTAAAGAAATGAATAGATTTCTTGAAAAAAGAGCCGATCTTCAATATCAATTTTGAAATGTACTTACCAGGAAAATCATACATGTGCTTTCTTTACAGGCGCCGCAACAGCCCAAAAATGCAATAAGAAACACAACACACCCAGCCACAATCAACAAAATGGGATATGGTGTTAGATCGTAATCTGTAATTAAATTTCAGGTAAAGTACAGCCAAACAATTAAAAACAGATATATTCGTTCATATTTACCAATGAAATCATGATAGTCAACAATTTTTGTGCGCACAATCGCACCGACTGTGATCATTGCAATGCCAATTATCTACAAATTAAGAATTTCCACGAATACACATTTTGAATGATTTATTTAACCTTGGATTTGTGAAGTGTATATCAAACTTACGGCAAATAAAAAGTTAAAAAAGAAGACCACATATTTTGTGAATGTTAGCCCCAGATCCATTTTGCTTGATTTTCTGCAAACAAAAACTGTACTTTAAAATGCGTGCGCAATAAATGTCTTTGTTCTAAATTTAATGTGTTTGTTGTTTTTTTTTCGTTTTATAATCCAAGAAATATTGGGGTCAACCGAATTTTCGAACCAAATTTTTGGGCATTCACAATACACTCACTTTTGAAACTTTTGTTCACGGATAATTGCACTTCTTTCTGGATTTTAGCAAACTAAAATTGAAAAAAAAATTGAAACAAATGTGTGGTGAAATAATTCGCGTGTTTCACTTGTTGACGTTGAAAGTGAATCTGAACGTTCGATGTTCACTCGTCGTACTTTTTATCGACGTATGATTCACGCAATTACAATACAAGCGTAAATCCCCATCAAGTGCGAACGATCGAGAGTGCTCAGTACAAACGCGTCGCAATGGAAAACAGAATTTCACGTCGATGTATTGTAACGTCTCATATCGTAAACAAGTCGTGTATTACCCAGTATGACTAAGAGCTCTGTTATAATTGTTATCACACTCGTGATGATGATAAGCGTGTTAGTATTACCAGCTCAGTAATTTATTGATAAATCAAAACAACACATTGCACCATTTATGACTTTTACACTCACATCATTTGTTTCATTCTAATTTTTACAGGAATTTCTTTGGAATAATTTCAACACATTGAATATTAGCATCTCATGAATATATATGCGATATACATTTGAGAAATGTGCGAATGTGTTGAACAGGCAGTTTCTCTGACAAGTGAATTTCTATCAGATTTTTATCAGAAATTGACGCATAGCGTAAAGAAATTATGACGCCTGAATTTGATTAAAGCAATCGCGAAAATAGAAACAACAAATGACTAATTTATTGTGAGTGCAAGTTTCATTGCACTGATTCAGTGTCATTTGATCTCTTTCAATTGAACTTGGTCGAACGATGTGTGAATGGAATTTTTTTAAAGATAAGCTATTTTTTAATAGTAAAATGTATTGTCCAACTTTGACTTTTTTTCTACAAAAACACCAAAATTCTGGTGAAAACCTTTACACCTAATGTAATCATATTCGTGCCAGCTCCATGAATGTTCGAACCCGAAAAGGAGAGAAAGAGTTATAAACAATTCGTATAATTGCTTGCGTGCAAGTGAAGTCGCATTTGTTATTGCATGTTATCGATTAAATTTGAAATTTAAAATGAGTGATGATATCACTTTTTCCAGAATAAATACCGGTATCAATAGATAACAATTTAATTGGTCAAACACTATTGTGGCATTCTTCTGATGCTGTGGTGACACATGTGTCATGCATGATCCAAATTAAAATGTATTTCTTTCGGGAAAAAAATAATCGTGGTTCTTTTAAGCTTCATTTACTAATAGTTTGCACAACATCTTCTTGAAAACATATCAATTTTCGGTGGTCGGTGGTGATGAATGGAGTTGAGATGTATGTCGTCATATTTATAAACATTAGGGTGGTCCAAACTGATTTGACATGGTAAGGTATATGCTCCCAATAGCTTAAAATTAAATTGGGCTCAAAACTAGCTGATTCTCTTTTTCAGATAAAAAAATGTTAAAATCTAGTGGTCGATAGAATAGAGCCGTACTTAAAATGGCTGTTTTTGACCTATTTTTCATCATATATATTGATAGAAAACCCATAGGTTATTCAAATCGAATCTGGTGACATATCATTTTTAAGGTTTTTTGGGACGCTAAACACGAAGCCGTTGTCAAAAATTAACTAATGTTGCTTTTTATCAAAGTTTTAGTACAAAAATATGTTCTTTTTAACAAAGTCAGCCATATAGCAAAAATACATGGTTTCAAGTGTATTTTTAACACCAAATTTGTACTCAGCGCCTCAAATTACCCTAAGATTGACTATGCTGATGACAAAAATCGAATAATCTCAGAACTGAAATTTTCTAGTGGTGTTCACGTATCGAAAAAAATCACATTTTTCCACGTATTTTTCCACCAAAAGTAAATTTTTGTTCAAAGCAGCCATTTTTATGGTTTTTTAGGCCGCAGAATTCGAATCCACCCAAAAAGAAATAACAAAATATTCAGTGGGAAAAATTGATATTTTCTATACATTTATACGGATTTTTTTGCATTTTTTAGGTTTTTCTGTCATAACTCGAACCCCATATGCGACGGAGCGGAATTTTGTTCAGCAAAGTTTTAGATCTCATTGAAAGCTACAATTTTGCCGCAGTCAGTCATCACTTATCTCTTATCAGTAAGGAGATGATAGTGATAGTTGATAAAAGCCACCAAGGCCTTTATATCCTTACTGATAGGAGAAAAGTGATGAGACTGTCTGCGGCGAAATTATAGGTTTCAGCGAGATCTAAAACTTTGCTGAACAAAGTTTTGCTCCATCGCATATAGGGTACGAGTTATGGGAGAAAAACCGAAAAAATGCAAAAAAATTCGTATAAATGTATAGAAAAATATCAATTTTTCCCACAGAAAATTTTGTTATTTCTTTTTGGGTGGATTCGAATTCTGCGGCCAAAAAAACCATAAAAATGGCTGCTTTGAACAAAAATTTACTTTTGGTGGAAAAATACGTGGAAAAATGTGATTTTTTTCGATACGTGAACACTACTAGAAAATTTCAGTTCTGAAATTATTCGATTTTTGTCATCAGCATAGTCAATCTTAAGGTAATTTGAGGCGCTGAGTTCAAATTTGGTGTTAAAAATACACTTGAAACCATGTATTTTTGCTATATGACTGAATTTGTTAAAAAAACATGTTTTTGTACTAAAACTTTCTTAAAAAGCAACATAAGCTAATTTTTGACAACGGATTCGTGTTCAGCGTTCCAAAAAACTCTAAAAATGATATGTCACCAGATTCGATTTGAATAACCTATGGGTTTTTTTTATCAATATATGTATATGTTGAAAAATAGGTCAAAAACAGCCATTTTGAGTACGGCTCTATCGACCATTAGATTTTAACATTTTTTTTATCTGAAATAGGGGAATCATTTAGTTTTGAGCCCAATTTAATTTTAAGCTATTGGGAGCATATACCTTACCATGATAAATCAGTTTGGACCACCCTAATGTATAGACTGTATCGTATATTCGGAGCTGATTTTGTCCAATTTCGCTGGCTAGTTTTACGTTTGAATGCACAATTGCACACACAACAAGCTAAACAGGAAAGAAAAAACAAAGTTTCTCTCAATAAATAAAAGCAAGTAAACGCAATTACGATTTGGTGCCTTGTAAAAGTAATTTTCTGCTACATAAACGCTTATCAAGAAGTATTTAGATTAAATTTCAAAGTGTCAAACAAGCGCCAATTGGTCTGATTGAAGTAAAAAAATATCTTCAGGATAAAGCCAGATCTATTTAAAGCAGTATTGGCGCCTGTTTCGTGCCTCGAACTTTGATGTAAATACTATTTGGTAAGTGTCTAAGTTATTGGACTTTTCTTCGGGCTTGATGGAGAGTATAGAACATAATGTATTAAGTCAACGTACATTTCATTGCGCATAGTTCACTTTGACATCTTGAGTTTAAATTACTAACTAGTATATTGGCGCCTTTTTTGACTTTGTTCCCAATGAAGTGGTCGGAATTTAATCGCCGTATATACTAACTCGTGACACACGCGTAACTCATAAGTTCGTGAATAAATAAATCAGAATCACAATCACTTTATTGACAAAAAGCGGTTTTTTTACAATATATGATTAGTCATTATATTTCGATCACAATTACGTTCAGATTTATTTGTGTCAATTTTTGTTGTATTGTTTGTTGTCAGTTGGTTAGCCTTTGTTATTGTTTTCGTTGTGACTTGTTACTTTTGTTGATTATTTTTAGTTGTTAGTAGATCTTGTATTTCTTTTTTTCTTGATTCGTTTCATTGCTTTGAACCATTATTATCAAAATATAGAATCTCATTTGTATTATGGCCGCAGTTGGACAAATATTTGAGTATTTTATCAATTCTTCCGGAACACTGAGAATAAGCAGCAAGAAAATACAACGCCGAATAACTGTAAGAGAGTGAAATTATATTAATTTACTAAAAAAATATTAGTTCGAATAAAAAAATAATTACATAAAATGTAACTCAAACGTAGACCAAGACTGATAGGAATCTGATATGGAAAGATTAAGCAATAAAAAAGTTTTCGTTTATACGTACTTGAAAAACTATTATTCCGGCTCCAATGCCAACCAAATACACTATGTGATCGTGTAAGAAATCGATCAGGGCTTTTTTGCAGCCAAGCTTTGAAGCTTGATCCTTAAGACACGTTGTTTGATCGTCAATATTCAGGTGACAGCATGATGGCGGCAAATAGATTGTATCATTCACAGCTTTCCAATCGTCTGGGCTATTGATGCCACAGCAATTGAACTAAAAAATTTATTTTATTCAGAAAGGGACACTTGAACTTTAGAAAAATATTCGTTTAAGCAAAATCCTTACTTCATACTGCAGTAAATGCCACGGTGGATATAATGTTGAGTCATCTTTAATATTTCGGAGCGTGTCGCGAAGGCTGTTTTCCACAAAGCTGTCCAGTTGATCTTTCTTCTCATAGGCAAAAATACTGATTCCGACTTCAAACAAAATAATCATGATCAGTATGACTGAAAACTGAAAAAAAAAACTCCACGTGAGAATGAGTGGTATCATATCCAGCCTAGTACTACTTACACCGAATAAACAGCACGTGTTTTCTGAGACCGATCCGCAACAGCCAAGGAATGCGATAAGGAATATCACACAACCAAATACAATTAGAACCACTGGAAAAGCTGATAGAACCTGATCTAAGATTTAAATTTTATTTCAAGATATTAATTAGGTTAGTTGTTCAAATAAGTTATTTTATTGGTTAATTCCAAAAGTTTTTTTTTATCGCAATTTACTCGTAAAAGCTTCAAAATGAACCAATTTGGTTTTGATTATAACGCCAACAGCGCCCATACAGAGACCGACCAACTGCAAATGTAATGAACATAAACATAATTTGCGTATCCATTTTCTATTTCAATTGGACTTACGGCGAATAAAAAATTGAAAATGAATACAATATATTTCGCAAAACTCAAACCGATGTCAACCATTTTGGCTGATTTTCTTTAGCTGTCCAATTAACTCTCCAACAGCTTTATCGATCGGATGGAATTTGTTGTTTTCTTTTATTCAAAACTCCAATTTAATTGAAACAAACGAGCACTGAACTAATTTCGTCACTTTCTTCAAATGAAATGTGAAAAGAATACTTAAAAGTACAAACAGAGTGACCCAGCGACTATTGTTCAAAGAACACAACACCGCTGATAATACCCACGATTCGATAAAGTACACTTCAGATATAAAGTTTCGGTACGAGTGGCATTATTCGCACAAAATACGACGCAAATATATAAAACTGACGAATCATCAAGAAAAGTGCAGCTTTTCATATTCGGTATGCATCATTTGAAGAACAAATACTGACCAACCAAATTTTGAAAATACGAATGAAAATAATTTTGAATTCAAATTGTTCTGAAAAAAAAACGCCTGTCGTACGGTCTTACCCAAACTTTCTATCGGTACTGTACATGTGTAGAAACGCAATCGATGTGTCGTGCATTTTGCAGATAGGTGTTTCTATGTATTGATGCTTTGGCCTGGTGATGTAATTAATGAGTAAGAACTATCTTTTTTTTTATCAAATTCGATAAAAAATACTGCACTCACAACTTATTCATAAGTGGCCGTATCATCCACGGCGCAATAGCCCGTTATTTATCAATGGAACTTTGCACGTATACGTATCCCACTCTATTTTTCAGCTGATGATTGACTCTTAGATAACATTTGTGCCAAACATAATAAAAAAGTATTTTTTTTATCAAGCCTACTGAAAATATTATCAAAGAAGCAATCAATAATTTTTGCGAGGTTTTTTCAAAAGTCAAAACGTGTATTGGTTCTTCCGGAAGATTAAAATAATTCCAAGACCTCAACTATTCATATTTACTATACACTGCATTCGTCATTACATTGAGAGACCCACAATTGATTCAACCATAATTTTATTTTGGCAAACATTAATGGACACACAAACAATATCATAGACAAATTTCAGTCAAATTTCTCCAAAAGTATAAATTGGTGCAGTGTGGTTATATCGCTCTCTGTTGAAAGTCAGATTTTATAGATTTTAGTTGTTTTAAAAAGCTTTTCTCTTAAATGTATGAAAGTGTGTGTTGTATTCACTTGCAAAAGCAAATCTGTTGGCAAATAGCATGTTGAACTAAGTCCATTACCGGAACTCAGTCGAATTTTTAACGCGTTTCAATCAACATAAGCACAGAAGCCATGGCGAACAAAGTCATTTTACTAAGATATTCATTTCTTACACTAAACGTTCTGATGGCTGTAAGTGTTACTTATAATATTAATTATGTTTTCAAGCAATGAGTATTGCATTCCTTGTGATTTGTGCCAAATTGATGATGCATCAAAAAAAACTTGGGTATGTGATCAACCATTCATCGATGCAAATGTTTGTTTTAAGTTTGATTTATTGTTCAATCAGAACTGAAGTTGGACGGTTTAATAATGTGTCTTATGATGATCAGCACCCCCACCGTTCTAACCATATTCCTGAATATGTTCGGAGCCAACAATAATGAACACAAGCCGGCATTCTCAGTAATTGATTCTCTTTTAACCTCTTGCCAAAACGGAGAAATACTTGATGTATTCTGTTGACGATTGAAGCAAAGTATATCAATAGCGCCACCTAACATGATGCAACATTGAATGCGACGTTCGAACTAATCAACACCTCTGTGTACAACGCACACATAGACTCTTTGCATTCACACGAACGTACACACAAAGACTTTACTTTCACACGTACGTATAGTTACAGAGATTTGTGGTTGGTGGCGCTCCCAACAAAGTTTCCACAGCAGTTCTAAACGTCAAACATTGCTATAGCGTATGAGCTAGACAGTGTTGCCTCTTGCAATTGCTCGTAAATTCTTTCAATTGAAATCCATTTCAGGCTTCTATTTTGTTGATTCTGTTCATCATAACTACCATTGGCATCATAATATATATTGGTGTGATCAGAAACGATCTCTCAAACCGAGAGTTTGAGTCGGAATTGAAAACAAAATTCAAAAACTATGAAGCAAACCAAATGTTCTTGAGGAAGCTACAAATTGATGTAAAAAAAATACTCGAAATCGCCCAATTCATTATTATGAATACTTATCATTGATTTAATTTTGCCGATATTTTACGTAGAACAAGTGCTGTGTATATACGAATTCAAGTGATTACAAGACTATTCCAAGAGCATGCTGCCAAAATTTCGATTAAGACCCAAAAACATGCAATGTATGGGACACAGGATGCATATCGATTATTCAGACGTCCGCAGAATTTGTCACTTCCAATCTGGGAACTTTCTTTGCCATTGGAGCTTGCCTCGTGTGTATTCAAGTAATTCGACAAAAATAAAACAGAGGAATAATGTGAACATTAAATCACATCGAAACGTAATCAATAAAAACAGATTTTTTGTCCATTTCATTCGACAGGCGGTTGAAATTCTTCTCTACGGTTACTTGATCTTTTCCGGCTTCTTTTTTCTACTTGGACAAAAATCATTTTTAACGCAATCGTCAAAATGAATTTATCAAATGAGAAAAGTGATAAAGTCATAAGTTCTATAGTATCAAGCACGTACATGTGTGAATGACAAACACTGTACGTACAAGATTTGTATGCGAGCAACACCAACAGTCTTAAATGGAAAAATAAAAGATAAAATAATTGTGACTCAATCTATGAATAATAATGAAATAAAGAGGGATTTTTTTCACTTATCTTGCTCATTTTTGTTTTCATGTTGTTTTTGATGCGTTGTTGTTATTACTTTGCTCATTTTGATTTTCAATAGTCGAATTACAATTCCATTAGATTATTGTGCTCTACGAATTTTTCGCAATTTCAAAGTAAAAATGGCAAACTGGTTGAGAACTCGATTATCCAAAGGAAATTTGCTGATAAAACGACTTCGAATCACGATTTTTTGTTTGAATTTATTCTTTGTCGTAAGTTTGAGATTCATTTAATCAAAGCTGATTTTGTGATTCGATTCAATTGTTTTTTTCCAATTCAAGATACTGGGTTTCTTAGTGCTAACCATTGGTATTTTCACCTATGTAGAGTATCAACAGTATAGAGAGTTTCTAGGTAAATATTTTCCTATTTTAAAAATGCAATTTATTGACAACGTTTTAATACAGTAGGTGATCATTTGGGGTTGCATGGCATTGGTTTAATAATCGTCGGCTGTGTCACATTTGTGATTACACTTCTCTGTTTCATTGGCAAAATCAGAAAAAGTCCATGTGTGCTATTATATGTATGTGACTCTTTCTAATAGAATAAGGGTTATTTTCCACTTACAATTATTTGTTTCCTTAGTTTATGATGGTGTTGGTTGTAATTTACCTCTTTGAAATCGCATGTGGTATTGCTGTGATCGTTGAAAAATCGAAACTTGATGCAACTTTGACGAAAAATTTGAACAAAATATTCAATGACTACAAAAGTAACGAGGGAATATGGGAACATTTACAAACTGAGGTGAATTTTTTTTCATTTGAAATCGCATAGCAGTTTTGCTTGAGTAGTTAATTTCCAAACCAAAGAAATCTATTCCAAAAATTGATTCTTAACTTGAACCAATTATCACGTGAGAATAAATCAAAACGTGTTTTTATTTCTAAACTTCTTTAGATGAAATGTTGTGGTATCAACGGACCAGACGATTGGCACACAAATATCCCCAAATCTTGTTATGAAACTTTGCCTAAAGGACAAAGGTTTTGTACCAAAACTGGTTGCAAATCTCCATTACTCAATCATTTTGGATCGATAGCAGCTATTTCGGCCGGCTTTAGCCTTTCGTTTGGATTGATTCAGGTATGAAATAACTAGATTCCAAAATAGACTCATATTTAATTTTTTTTCAATGTCGTTTCAGATTTTGGTCATCGGATGTACTTTTTACGCATACAAATTGTTTCGCGATAGCTTTGGAGAGCATATAGAAATATTTGTTCGATAAAAAAAAGCTTTGTGTTCAAATAATAAACTGAATCATATATTTATCATCACAAAATGAGTGTGTATTTGTATTTATTGAATTGCAGCTCAAATTAGTCATTGTCCTTAAATGAATAACTGAGTATGGGATATAATTTATCCATATTTGAGACTGAAGTCTTTTTGTTCAATTTTTGTTGGGATTCAATAGAACATGTTTCTTGATAACTTGGATTACAATGAACAATTCGAAAAGGAAGATGATTATCAGGACAATGGTGATCTGAAAAAGTGTAAAAATCATAAAATAGAACGACTTGAACTTCATTAATCAAAAACAAACAACAGATTTAATGGCATACCGTAAGAAATGAACAAGAATTTTCAATTGCCGATCCACAAGCACCAACAACAATGAGAATGACTATGACTCCAACGATGATCATCAGAATAATTGGAAGAAATGACATGTGCGACCCGAAAAAATCCTGATAATTCTTGTAATGGATGAAAACCACAGCGCCAACAACAATAATCGCGAAAGCAAATGCCTAAATGAATAACACGTGAATAATATTCGTTTTTTAATCAAATTTTTGATAAAATTATGTATTTTGTTCACTAGACTTGCCACAAACAATAAGTTGAAAACGATAGTAAGATATTTGGAAAAATATGTTTCAGCCATTTTATCACTTTCGATATACGCACACGTTATTAAAAACGCACAGGGACAGAGTTATATTGACAATTAGACAAATTTTTGTCGGTTTACTATGATGCTTAGGGTCAATCATTTCCAATGGATTTCATTAAATTTGACTTTTGTCAGATATAACCTGTTGGCTGCTGAGCGAGCATAACGTGTGCGACGTTTGTGTCACTTCTTTCGTTTAAAATCTTCGTCGAGTGTGAGTGAGCGAAGATATATGTGATACACTATGATTTGTGTTAATTGGTTTAAATTTCCCCTAATCATGCAGTTTAGCTATGCATTAATAAATCTGAACATGAGTTTTCCATTTAAATATGCAGCTTTTTGAAACACTAGTTTAGCTTTTCAAAATCCAAACCACATTTTGTAATAAATAATCTGTATGCCGCCAATATGAAATATGTATGAGTGTACAAAAAACCAAATTGTAAATAAGCAAAAAAGCCCCAGTTCAGTCATCAGAGAATAATTTTATTGCAAAAAACACATTTGGGGTGGACGTAAAAATAGTTCCAGTTAATAGCAAATAGTTGCAGAATCCATATTCACACTGTAAGTTTTCGGAAGGGGAATGAGTAATCTAGATACAGTGCGAAATAGCGGTTTCAACTATTTTTGGATGAATTCACACTAATTTTAGGGGAAAATGTGTTATTGCTTATGCGAACGCTCAAGTGG